AAGAGAAAGGAATATTATCAGAAAAGAGTACCTCCATAGCTGATCATCTGACACCCTTTAAGTGATCAACATTAAGGATATTTAAAGCATGTGTTAATCTTTGATTTACCAATTGTTTTATCCTATCAAAGAGTAATCCCCCTTTTCTTTCTTTTTTTTTTTAATCTTTAATCTACACTTACATGAAGAATACTATGTTTACTATGCTCTCCCCTATATCAGGTCCCCCCTAAAAACCATATTACGGTCACTGTCCATCAGCATGCTGCTAAGTTTTAATAGAGCCATTTCTAAAGACCATTAGCGGGCATAGAAGCTTGGTTACGGTAGACGGAAGCATGAACAGAAAGAGAGGAAACCTTTTTTTATGGAAAAGTAAAAGAACAAAGATGGTGGTTTGAGGGCGAGATGGGTTAAATAAACACTTTAGAATGTTGAAGACTTAAGTATGTTTTGGAGCAAACAGTGAGGGACAGAAGGGACATATCCCCGGCCCTCTCAAAAGTGGCTTCCTCTGCCATTCCTGCATGGTGGTCCAAGCATTTTTTCTAATTGTTTCTTCCTGAAGCAAACTGTTCCAGGAGTACTAAAGAATTTACTGTTCTTCAGAAAGTGACAGGGGAGACCAAAGTAGCAGTTGCATTATTATCTGGTATATAACAGACCTATTTTCTCATCAATCATGTGAGATCACAGGAGATCACAGTACGCAATGTATGACTGGTGCTCCAGAAATATTTTTTAATGGGCAACAGGTTGGAAGAGTCTATAGTAAAGAGAAAGGGAAAGTTCCAGACCTAAGTAATAATAATCAATATTTAACAGGGTTCTGCCAAGTGTCAGGTATTATTCTAAGCACCCAACCTATATTAACTCATTTGGTCCTACAAAGTAGATACCATTATTTATTCCCATTTTACAGATGAGCAAAGTGAGGCATAGGAGAGTTAAATCACTTGCCTAAGGTCACATAGCTAATTTCAGAGCTAGGATTCAAACCTAGGAAATCTGGCTCTGAAGTCCTTGCCCTAAACCACTACACTATCCTGCCTCATCCAGTAGCCAACCTGGTGGTCTTAGTAATGCTGAGCCCTCCTTAAGATAAACTGAACTTCAAAATGCAGTTCTAAGCAACTTGAAGAGGTTATACTGAGTCAATGGTTCTCCAATTTCAGGGTGCTAAGGATCATTTGGGTAGTTTGTTGGAACACAGATTTCTGGGGCCCAACCCCAGAAATTGTGATTCGGTCGATTTAGAGTAGGGTCCAAGAATTTTCCGTGTCATGAGTTCCCAGATTATGCTGATCATGCTGGTCTGGGAGTCACACTTGGAGAATTACTTTTCTAGGTAGAAGCATAGGCTTTCCAACAACTAGAATCTACTGAAAGATAAAAAGCCAATATTGGCTTCGCTGTAATTGGTAACAAGCAGAATTTGGTTACCCAAGGCACCAATTTCATGTAAACCTCACTATAGTCTGGATCAGAAATTCTGTGGGGAAAGGGAGCTTACCGCTGTTTCTCAGGTGAGAGGCAGTGGACCCAGACTGAGGAAAAGCCTGTCGGGGTCAGACCACATTCGTGTGGAGATCCTCGGGGTCCTGGCCCCCGCTGCCCGGTGTACTTCTCCACCTACCCTGCTTCCTTGACTGGCATGTGTCTTGGTGCCTTCAGCCTTCTTTGGATGCGGGGAGGGGATCGTTGTTGATGTGTTCGTGTGCCTCCCAGACTTATTTTTATGGAAGAAGCAAGGCTGTAAGCTCCTCAGACCGAGGACTGCTAAAGCATGGAGATTTTACAGCAAACACATTGCCATCCCACTGGAAGCTTCTGGATTTATAAGCATGGGGACTCAGTGGTAATAAGGAGCCTTTAGGCAATGTACTTGCAAATCCACCTATTTTGTTTTCACCAAATACCACAACAATCCTGTTGCTATTTAGGCAGTTCAAAAGTGGCTAAAGAAACAAAGTATGCCATTCAGAAGCTCACCAAGACCAGATGTAGAGACCAATATATCCTGATTATAGCTCTGCCACAAACATCTCTAGATCTTTGTTTCCATCTAGCAACTGAGAGCGTTAGACAATATGATCTCTAAGGGCCCTTCAATCTTGAAAGGCCACAAGCCTAACATGTGATAACAGACTGGTTATGGGAGACCTTTTAGAAAACCCCTAAGTGGAGCCTGGGGTACACTTCCATAGCCTACATGGGATTTTCCCTCTTGTAAACAGCATGTAGGAAGCTCAGAATATATTTTTGAACCAGTTGTATCAAGACTTACATGGCTCATCCACAAAACAGTTTGAAGGTTCTTGGTCTGAAATTACACATGTTTTTTATATATTTGTTAAAGAAAATAAGATACACATTATACAATGAACATATATATTTATGTACCTATGCATACATATGTACATATTTAATGTTAATTATGAATTATTATTTCTTATATAATAAATAATCTATTTAAATGTTAAGGAGAAATTTGGACTGAGTTTCTCAAAATGCTAGTCCCTTGGGCTCTAAATCGCTGGCATCTAAGTAGCACATCCGCACACATGCACATACATATAGTGGTTTCACTGCACGCCACGGGCAAACCCCTCTGCAGTCCGCCACAGTCTTCGGGTGAGCTTGTTTTCCAACAGTTCGGGCTGTTACAGTGTGAGCGCCACTGAAAACTCTGACCTTTAAGCAAAGGGAAGGCATGGGCTAAGATACGACACTGTAATTGACAGGGAATAAAGAGTGGAAAATAGCAGAATGGGATAACCAGCCTGAGTCCTTTGGTGGTCTATGACTTTAGTGTCTTTGTGTAACCAAAGAATCGAAATACTGTCTAGTTGAAAAGTAAGCCTCAATTTTTGCATATCCTAAAAGTCTGCAAATTTATTGCAGTATTGGTAAGCAATCTAAATAATAGAAAACATTATGCCCTTACTTTATGATCACTAATGTATCTTCTTATCAATAGAAAATGGCTGTGAAGGTAATTGGGAGAAGAATGAACAGACTGGAAGTTGCTACCAATTTAACACCCAAGCAGCTCTTTCTTGGAAAGAAGCTTATGTTTCATGTCAGAATCAAGGTGCTGACTTCCTGAGCATCAATAATGCCGCTGAGTTAACTTATCTTAAAGGTAGGTTTAACTTGCTTGTGGTAGAGCAAATGGCTGCAATTGTACGGATGCTGTCTTGTCTTCCTCTACTTTCATACCTAGGTATGTTGTTTCCTACCTAGGTATACATTTATCTCTCTTCTCATGGGATTTAAGCTTCAACACTGAAACCCACAACAGAAAGTACTGAGTATAATCCTATCCCATCCATTGAAAATGCATGTTGTGATAGAGACTTAAAAGAGATTAATATTCAGAAAATGGGGTGAGATAGCAAGATTAAACTGATACCCTTGCCTATGTGCAAAGATTTGAAAAAGGTGAATATTGAACGCTGAACACTGAAAAGCGGAGTACCTGAGGAAGGTCAAGATGGCCGAGCCACGCTGGCTGGCCTCAGGAAAAAGCCCTCACATTTGAGTAGAGATGTGCAGTCCTCAGGGGCAAGGAGAATTTTAAGAAATCTTAAAGTGGATTTAATGACATGGACACGTGGAGTGGATAGAATTTGGTTTGTTTTTTTTAGGGTGGTGATAATTTTAAATCTTTGATTATGAAAACTTACATAGACAAAAACAGATAACAGACTAAAAGAAACATGTGAAACCACCACCCTGACTAAATACACACTAACATTTTGTCATACTGCTTTACATGAATTGATTCCCTCCCTCTCTCTCCCATACCTCCTTCCTCTCTCCCTGTTTCCCTCCCTTTAAATAAATAAAATGTTAACAGAGTTAAACTTCCATGCCCACCTCTCAAAATAACCATCCCTTGAGTGCTTTTACAACTTAATGTATGTGTAAGTGTTACATGTGTTTTCATTATACTATTGTTCTATGTTTTAAAGTGATACAGATACTATCTTACTGGGTATACTGATGCTTACAAAAAGTGTACCCAACATCACACAGCCTAGAAGTACCAGAATTTCTTTTCATCATTAAAATTCTAATTATCTTCTGTCATGTTTTCAGACTATAGCTTTATTCAGACCCTGTTTCTTACTTACAGCTTTACCTCTTCTCCTCTGTCTTTTGGTGCTTGAATTTTCTTACCTCTAGAATGGAAATCTGCCAAATAAACTGAATGGGCTAGTGTTGGTCTATTCCAGACCTCACAGAAATCTTACCAAAAATATTGTTGGGAGTGGAAAGTGCCAATAGATTTATTCTTCTAGAATACTGACATTTGGAAAGTGGTGACTTCAGTGAAGGAGGAAAGTGCCAAAGCGTGACTATTAACACTTTAACAATCTAATCTAACATTTGGAGGAATGAATGTTGCAGGATTTCTTTATACACCAGTTTTCTTTAATAACTCATAAAAGTGAGATAATAGGTTATCCCATTTGTCCTCTACCCCCTGGCCAGACACTCATCACATTTTATGTGTATCAGTAATTTTAAAGGTGCATCCCTTTCTAAGGTTCCAAGCTCCTCTTTCACTGTGAATGCCGTTTAGACATATCATAATTACTATAACCTAATTTATCATTGCTGGTTACCCAAGAAAGGTAAACTTTAATATCTGAAACTCTGAGTATCTAAGTCTTGAATATTGCTTCAAGTTCCTATGAAGTGTCCCTCCACTTAAAGCTACTATGTGCAAACCCTGGGGTGGCGGTGAGGCCAACAAAAGCCAATCAGATGGAGATTTTATGGTCAAAGTGCTGTATCTGGTTGGGGAAATAAGAGTTGTACATATGCAGGGTGTGGCGGGCAGTGTCACCCTCAGGTGGCCCCCGGTATGGTGGCTAGTTGGTGGGACTAAGGGATCTGCTGGCAGACAAAAAAGCAGAAGCAACCCCTTGAAGAAGAGTCCCATGCAGTCTGAAATAGCTTCATTTTTCCTCTTGGCATGCCCTGCACCTAAGGTGCAGAAACCCCTTAAAATATGGTGCTTGATCTCAAGTCCAGTCGTGTGCTCAACTGGGTGAGCTGCAATGGGGAAGCACTAAGTCATTTTGGTTTTGTTTTGTTTTACTAACGCAGGATTTTGAGGTGGGAGATTTGGATTCCTTATACTCACTGGATTTTATTTGGGAATCAGATGTTCCATGGCTCTGGCCTTCCCAGGGGACTTCTAACCACAGATTCACCCCAAAGCTACAAAATATGGCCCAATGGTCCCCATAGCAGGAACAGGACCTTTTCATTCTTCTTAGTTTGCCTCCACCCTGAGGGGCTGTTCACTGTGAGCCACGTTGACATGTGGCCCAACGCCAGGATGCTGCTAAATCAGGGCCCCTGATGACGGCGGCCTTCCTGATGCATTATGGGAGGCTCTTCTCCTGCTCATCCCAGAGGCAAGACCATCACCAAGCCCTGTAGTTTCTCCTTAGTGAGAGAGGAATGGCATATACAGTCAGGTCTGAACAGGTGTCTTGGGGAAAGTTCAGAAATACCTAGCTCAGTGAATTTGCCTATTTGATTAGGCATGGGGACTTATGGTAACATTCATTTGTTTCTTGAGGATAAAGATGGAAGTAAGCAGAGTCTTAAATTGGCCAACTTCTTGCTTGGACTGTATGCAGAAAAAAAGTCCAGCTTCATATTGTCCAGACCGTATGAGAAAGCCCTGCCCTCCATATTTGCCCAACCAGGACCTTTAGAGTTTATCCACCATTTCCATTCCTATCCACTAGCATAAGACAACAGCTTGTTTAAAGTTAACTCTTTCCCCAGGTCTTATATTTTCATTGACTCTCACTCTGTTGATTCTTCCCCAACAGGCTATAAATTTGTTTAAATTTCTACCATTGAAATATATTGTATATCTATATATCTCCTAGATCCTGAAGACCCATCTCTTATTTTCAGAGCCAGGTGCCTAGAAAGCATAGTTATCTTTGCAGTTCACTCCTAACATCACATCTGCTCCTCTGTGGGGCGATGATTAGGCCTCTGTCCCTACCACCCTCTGTCCAGCCCCTTTCCCGTCCCGTAAATCTTGCTGTCAGGGTTATTGCTCTTGACCTCTTTCATCTTTGCTTGTTGCCACTCAGACTCTACACAGCAGAGCTCTTCCACTGCTGCTTGTCAGTCCCAGTGGAGACACCTGTCTTTGGCATTTGAGTTCCGATGTGTATAGTAAATCAAAGATTGCAGATAGTCAAATTTACCCTCAGAAATCCGTTAAAATATGGTGTGTGATCTCAAGTCCAATCGTATGCTCAACTGGGTGAGCTGCAATGGGGAAGCACTAGAAAGACCAAAGAAAAGACCTGGAGACAGCAGAGAAGACATGAGAGTTTACTGGGATTTATGAACAGATAGTCCAGGAGCAGCCAGAGCATGAGGTTGCACACACTCCCATGGTCAGGAGGGAACTGATTATACGGGGTGAGGAGACAAAGACTACTGTGTGCCAGGAAAGGGTTTGTGACTGAAGACCACTCCATGTGTCTGTTAGCAGGAATTTGCTTTCGTGCAACCTCAAAACCCGAGGGGTCTGGATTCCTTCATATCAAGATGTTCCTATAGATAAGGCAGGCCCAGGTTGGCCAGAGCCAAGCCATTAACATACCATACCTGGGCAGGTCACTCGGGGAGAGACCGTGTGGACGTATGGTTATTATTGGCAAGAGGTTATAAGCAGGCAGTGCTTGTTCCCACATGTGGATATAGTTCTCTATATGTAAATCACACACATTTAATAAAGTGTGGTTATGGTTTTCTATATGCAAATCATATATTTATTTATCTCTATAAAAAGTAAAGTATGGATATGGTTTTCTACATTGCAAAGCACAGAGATATATCTGGTATATATATAATGGATGAAAATGATATGTATCAGATATATCTGTATGATTTGCATGTAGAAATCATATCCATACTTTTGGTATATAATATAATGTACATTTAAATTATTTAAAATACAATTATATTTTGTATGTTTATAGAGAGATATATAGATTTTATATATATAATATAATAATACTTCATACATAATTCCCTGGGATGCATTAAGAAACTGTTATCAAGGTCTTTATTTCTGAGAATATTTCAACAAATTTAGAGATTCCAACCTGTTAGCTCTTGCTGTTTGTCAACATCAGCCTTGTCTTCTGTAGGCCATTTTATCAGTTGCTCTGTCTCTTCTGCCTAGACCTCATCTTAAAATTCTTCCTTCATGATGTTCATGAAGTCTTACCAGGTCCTTGAATAATTTGTTGACTTCCTTGACAGTAGCGTGAAAATCCTTGCAATCATTTTCACATTCCATTTATTCTTTCTCCAATACACATAGGCCTATACAAGCATGATCGCATCCATTACTGGTGGGCATATGAATACTGAGTGGCATATATACAATTGGCCTCAGATTTAAATTATACCTGCTTCTCTGGCTTTCCCCCTTTCTTGTCTATGGCATCTTGTTGTCAAATAATGAATTTGAATGACACATCTCCACGATAGCTTGCGGGTCGTGTGCGTGTGTCCCCCATTCTGTATCTCCAGCCTAACTGTCTCCTTTGGACTCCAGAGCTGTGTATTTCATTACCTACCAAACAGTTCTTGTACATATTTCTGAAGCAGTACTGGTAACACTTCACCACTTGGGGGATCTGTATCTGTTTCTGTCCACTCAGTCGAAATCCTCATGAGAGCAGGGACTTTGTCATTTTAGTTTTTATATCTTTAATACTTGGTAAATAATATATGCTTAATAATTAAACTGTCAGTCTGGAATACAATCAGATCTTCCAAATGAAGATAGATGATGGAAACTGCCTTTTCTACATCAGTACCAGAGGGTTAAAAATAATGAAAGCTATTCTGAGAAGATTCTGTTCTTATCTGAGAAAAAAGGGAATTGGACAAGCTAATGGAAAAACAGAGCTGAATTAACTTACTAGCATTTGGGTTTCTCAATGGTCTGAGGCTTTGTTATCTATCATCTCCAGCCTTTGTTGAATAGACAGCCTCATATGGATTCTTGCCTTTTGATTAAGTTCTTCAGATATTTTTGCTATTAGTAGAAATAAGTCTGACTTAGATAATAACAGGTACCTTCATCACTTGTTAAAATTATGTATTTCTTACAGAAAAAGAAGGCATTGCAAGAATTTTCTGGATTGGCTTAAATCAGCTGTACTCTGCTAGAGGCTGGGAATGGTCAGATCAAAAGCCATTAAACTTTCTCAACTGGGACCCAGGTACTATTCCCTGCTGCACTTGCTATGCACAGAGCAAAAGCTTCAAAAAAAATAAAAAAGAGCTTCCCTTCCCATTCACCAAGAGCTTATAAAGATTTCAAATCTTGACAACTCTTATGATGGTTACCTCTCAGAAGTTTTTTTCCTAAGCCCTTTTTCATTGTGATACCATTATAGACAAATTGAACCACACCATGGACAACTGAGCATTTGTCCCTAACCTTTAGAGCGGCCTACATTTTTAGGTAAGAGCAGAATGAGTCCCATCACATGGTCCACGAGTCCCATCACATGGTCCAGGAGCCATTCTGTGTTCCTTAGGGAACTTGAGATGTCTACAACTGACCCATGTTGTCTTTCATCTGCAGCTTAACTCCCATACAGAAATATTAATATTCCCTCATTTAAAAACTCTTGGGGTCTCCCACTAGAGTACCCAAATATGGACAACATAATGGTTATATTTTATTACACAAATAAATAGCTTAAAGAAAATTTTTGCAGTGAATAAAATAAAGTCCTAGTTAGTCAAAAGATTTTTTCCCAAAAAGAAGGCTTAGATACCCTTCTTAACAATAAAATCTTAGGCTTCTGACAAATGTAAAACCTAAAAGTTAACACTAAAATACGAAAGTATTCTGCACACATTTAAGAAAAATGAGTTGAGTGCAATGAAATACCAATAAGTCATTTTAGTTTAATGAAATTTTATGATTAGTAAATAAATTCTCTATTTTCTTGGTAGGTAGAATCTTTAAAGATAACGTAATCTTTAATTCAAGGCCTTAAAGGCACTACAAAATCACAAATTAGTACATTTACTGTTTAGAGTAGCAGATTAAGAGCTAGTGATCACGGGATATGACATGGAAGCTGATTCAGGGTGGAGGTTTGATTTTTGATTTTGTTTTTTAAATTAACTTTGGTATATCCAAGTGTTTCTCCCTGTGTCCTATATATCAAAAGAAAGACATATTTAAGCACATGATTGTCCAGTGAGGCTTTTACATTTCAATTTATTAGAAGGCTTTGACTATTTTATGAGTTCCCATAAATGCTGAAAATTAAGAATGCAAATTATTTTCCTAACCACCACTCCAGCCCTAACCTTCTAACTCTTTGAAAATCCTACCTTTGAAGATATGCCTAGTGCACCTACAATAGGTGGATCGAGCTGCGCAAGAATGGATGCCGTGTCTGGTCTATGGCAGAGTTTTTCCTGCGAAGCTCAACTGCCCTATGTCTGCAAAAAACCGTTGAATAACACAGTGGAGTTAACAGGTATCTTCCTCATTTACTTGTACAAACAGTTCTTAAAATTACAGTTTTGTGAAGTCAAGTAAATCCATCTCAGACGTCTATTTCCACCTTTCTTTCCCCTGATACTGCCAATGCCAAAAAGTATTTGATTTTGACCCTGTAGTTAGTTAGACATTATCAACTGTATGAATAAAGCTTCGATCTGGCATATGCCCATAAGAAGGCAGAGGTATTCAAGACTGGAAATATATCTGTTCTCCCTGTTCACAGGGCACTTGTTTGTCTACAGCAGTGTTTCTTGAAGTGTGGTCCCCAGACCAAGAGCTTCAGTATCACCTGTACCTGTTAGAAGAGCAAATGCTCGGACCCACCCTATGTACTGAATTGGATGTGCTGAGGGTGGGACCCAGCAATCTGCTTTAAGAAGCTTTCCTGGTGATGGCTGATGCCCACTCAGGTCTCATGTATTACCTGGGTCTGTGAGGAATAAAAACTGATGGACACAGAAGCACTCCCACACTTCCCCATCCCCTACCTATGTCCTTCTTGGCCAGGCGGTTCTTTAGGTCCCTGTGCTGACAACGCAGGTAGAAACGGCAAGGTGCAGAAGGGCAGCATGAGCACAGGGAGGGGGTTTTCCCGGCGCAGTTGGAGTAAGAGGCACAGAGCAGCTGAAGGTTTTGAGGAGTCTCGGAAGGAATGGGAAAGAGTCTTGCCCAGGGCCCACCAAATACCTGGTATTTGATTAAATCATCGCTGAAGAAGAAAAACTCATACTCAGAACTGGGAGGGGAAGAAAGGAGACTTTAATATTTCTTGCTTTAAGGAATGTTGGGAGAAGGGAATAAAGCTTAAAATTTCTTATCCACATAGAAACTGAAAGCTATTTTTTTTAAGACTGAAAAATAAATACAGAATAAAGAACATGGTAGGATGTTTAGAAATAATAGGAGAAAATGAACATTCATCTTGCAACTTGATTCAAACCAAATTTAGTCCATTCAACAAAAGCCATATTAGAAAAGACAGCACAAATGAAAATAAACTAGGGCAACTGATGACAGATCAAACAAATATCCTGTAGTAGCAATTATTAAAGAAATCATGGTGTTTCCACATGATTGAATAACATGCATTTATTAAAATCACTGTGCCAGCAGGAAAATAGAAAAAGCAGAAAATGATAGGCCTACTTATTTTAATCTTTTAAAAATATGTATTCATAAAGACGAAGACTAGAATTGGAAAATGATTGTTTTAAGTTCAATTATGTGTGATTTTTTCCCCTCTGTTCCTTTTCATAATTGTGAAATATAATGATAATAACAAGTGCTATTTCAGACCCTTAAAGTTAATTGATTTATCTTGCAAGTGTGAGAAGCTAGCTGTATCTGAATTTTATCCTTTAGTAAAAAACAAACTGCACATTTTTAAGATACTGTGTTTTCATACCACAGATATTCCCAACAGTTCTCTAACTACAGGAAGTCTGAGTCACCAAGCTACTTTCTAGTTCTACTAAAAGGGGTAGAAGTCTTTTGTGTGGTTTTATAACTCACTCTGTCTATCTAATCTTTCTTGACCATCATTTGAGTGAGTTTTATCACGATTAAAAATGAAGAATGACCAATTCCATGAGGACTGTAGGTCTAGCAGAGGGGACGAAAGAAGAGGTTGAGAGATGCCCTTTGCCCTTTCCCCCCATTGCTGCCCGCTCTTGGGTGTGAAGTGTATAAATGTCTTATTCTGTTGCTCAAATCTCTGCCCATAGTGTTTAACAGTGAGATTAATGAACATTGTCTTGCTAAGCTGACCATGCATAAAAAGGAGATTCTACCTCATAACTCCCAAAGGCAGAGACTGGAAGGGAAGCTAACAAATCCTGTACCAACCAGGAGATTTATCTGCAAGTGGTTTATCTTACACTGTTCTTCTCTCTAGTAGGACTAAGGGCAATCCCTCCTTCAATAGTCTGATCCTAGCCATGTAGCACCTTTATATCACATTAAAATAATATCATTACCTAAATCTCTGCAGTCCCTCATATGGTGCTATGTAGACATAGGCATCACATAAATTCATTTCACTGAACTATCTGACATCATATCCCCCAGTTTTCCAGAACCCTTATGAGTCAAGAAAGAAGAATTTGCAAGGTTATTGGTTCAAAATAGATGTATCTTTACTGGAATGTAAATAACTACTGGAATATAAATAGCTGCTCTCCCCCCAGATGTTTGGACATATTCAGATACCCGCTGTGATGCAGGCTGGCTGTCAAATAATGGATTTTGCTATCTGCTGGTAAATGACAGTGATTCCTGGGATAAGGCACAAGTGAAATGCAAAGGCTTTGACAGCCACCTCATGAGCATTCATTCCTTAGCTGATATGGAGGTGGTGGTCACAAAACTCCATAGCGGGGGTAAGTTTTTAAAATATCCTATCTGAGAGGTTTAAAACATTTTTAAACATCCCTATTTTCAGACCCTAAGCAGGAATGAAAAGCTTACATTTTGATCATTAGAGATCAGACTGTTCAGTCGAATTTTCTGAAGTGACGGGATCTGTTCTGTCATCTTTGCCATCCAACACAACAGCCACCCAGCGCTTGTGGCTTCTGAGCACTTGAAATGTAGCAAGGGCAACAAGGGAAACTGAATTTTTGCTTTTATTTAATTTCAATTATTTTACAAATTTCAATGGCTACATGTAGCTAGTGGCTACCAATTTGACAGTACAACCCATACCTGAATAATTTCCCTCTTCTCATAAGCTGACTGCTATTTAAGTTGCTTCAAACACTTATGTGATGATTATTTCACTTTTGTGGACTGAAGAACAAAAATGCACTGGACAGCCCGTATTATAACCTCCTCTTATGATCACGAATAATAATACCTAATAGTAGATACATATTGTGTACCAGCGTGGTGCCAATTGTTTTACCTGGGAAGGCAACATAGTCATTCCAGGGCAGTGATGGGCAGTATTCTTACTCTAAATGGAATATCTATGATTATATTTGTAGAATTTCATCACAGGTTTCCCCCGCTCAGAAAGCAGAGCATTCCTATGAAACCTTTCGTAAGCCGAAATGGCATAAAGCAAAGAAGCATTTACCATTTTGTGAAGGTGAAAATCCTCTGGATTTCTTTTGGTGAGAGAAAATAGGTCAGGTACTAATGTAGGTCTTCCGTAAAAGTGCCGTGGCAACAAAGCAAACTTTTGGATACTGGGGGAGACCTGTGTTACCCATAAAGGTTTATCTAGACCAGGTAACGGGAACACCCCATTACAGATCTTAGCGTAGCTGTAGCACCTGTGTCCTCTACCTGCATAAGTGACCTGAAAAGCCCTCATCACCAAGCCTAACTTAACATTTTAATAGACTGTTTAAGAAAACCATCAGGGCTCTTTAAAACCCCATATGAGAATGTAAAAATCAGTAATAGCATACATATTGAAGTATGTACTATAGGGACACCAAATAAATAAGACATTTTTCTTTTAGATGCCAAGGAAGAAGTATGGACAGGCCTTAAGAACATAAATATACCAACTTTATTTCAGTGGTCAGATGGTACTGAAGTTACTCTAACATACTGGGATGAGAATGAGCCAAACGTTCCTTACAATAAGACTCCCAACTGTGTTTCTTATTTGGGAAAGGTAGGAAACCACCTGTGATTTAGTTATATTCTGATTGTTATGCCAAATAATAATACTAAGACTACCTTGGTTAGGATATTGTGATTAAGCTGGGAAAGAAAATGATAGGGAAGCACCATGTAGATTGTCTTTCTAGTAATTACTAGAAAAAGGTAAATAAAACAGTAACTATATGAGCAATCCACTTCCTGTCTGAGATTATCTGCTCTGGTCTGAAGATCTCAGATTCTTGTGCCAGATTGGTTCTAATAAGCTGCTTTCTCTCAGGACCATCCGTGTTATAATTAGCATGTAGCCACAATTTAAGCTGAAAAATCCCATCTTCTGCATTCATATTCAATTTAAGTTTTATGTTAATCCTACTTTGAGAAGTGAAATTTATTATTTTTATTAAAAACTTAGGTCTGTTCAGAGAACATCTTACTCGTGTAGAATGCTTAAATGCTTATTGAATATGCTTTAGTTAGGAGTCCAACACAGGCTGTATGTCGAGGAGAAAGGACATTTAGTACCTCTGCATTTTGTTAGTGTCACTTTCCTGTTGACTCCTAATTGTTTAGGAGGCTGATTGCATCACCCAAACTTGGAGAGACTTAAGTGGAGGCAATAAATGGTATGTGTATTTAAAACTGTTTCAAGAGTAAAGATGTATTTAGAAAAGTGTCAGAGATGGATATAGAAAGGTGTCACATTTGTGCTCTATTTAAAAGACTAAAATGTCGTTAAGAACAGTGTCAAAGATAAAATGAGGCCCCATAGGCAGGAATGAGCTGATAGCATAATTCCACAACAGGCCAGCTTTCAAATTGGCTGTTTCCACAACTGATTTACTGACATTTAATTTGAAGAGAGCAGTGACATAGTCAATTAAACAAAATTAAGCACAAATGTTAGGTAGTAATTTGAAAGAAGGAACTCTGAAGACTAAACTGAAGTACAGTTTGAAGAAACTTTTAATTCAAGAATTCTTAGAGTGTAGTTATTCTAACCACCATGATTATTTTACATATGAGGAAACTGAGATGGGGAGATTAGTTAACATGGCCCAAAAGTTTTCAACCTCTGGGCAGATTTCAGCCACGTCATACGGAAGGAGATTAGACACTGGCAACTGCTTGTGGGCTGAGTTCTCTCTTCAGCTTCTATACTAAGTGTCCTTTGATGGCTTTTTTGTTACTCTTATTTTAAAAAATGAAATTCAGACTGTGAGCCCCAGCCTTGCAGCCCTGTTGGGTGCAGCGTTTTCCCGCAGCGGTTCTCAGCTTTGAGGATTCATCTTCTTCTCTCCCTCCTCCTCTGGCCCCTCCTTCATAGTTTTGTAAAAATAAACTATCTTGATTTAAAATAAGGTAGAGTTCAATTCTAAATATATGGCAAATAATTTCTCTTGTGGGAAATTTTTTTTTCTGTTTTGTAAAAGCTAGGTCAGTGGAAAGTCCAATCATGTGAACAGAAACTTAAATACATATGTAAGAAAAAAGGAGAAAAGATGAATGATACAAGATCTGGTGAGATGTGTCCTCCAGGCGAGGTATGTAAAATCTCTGTATAAATTTTTCTAAGCAATATTACACCTTCTTCGTTAGGGGTGGTAGCTGAGACTTAAATAATTCCAACTTGGAAAATAGAAGAAATTACTAACTTCTCTTCATTTACATTAAGTAAGCCAGAGATCAGTACTTGTAATGTATGGGCATTCTTACAGAAGAAAACAGAATTATAAGAAAAAGAGTGAGGTATTCATGAATTTCTATAAAAATGTATGTGATTACAATACTCGATGCTGATATCTTTACTCCTCCCATTTATATTATTCCTGTTCAAAAATAATTCAGTCAACAGCATTATACTCATATGACGAGTTAGGTGCTAGGGGTAAAGAGGATAAGATATACCTTCTGACATAGGCTTGCAGTCTTGTGGACGTTTTCTGTGAAGTTGTATCCCATTCCTATTGTATGTGAATTCACTAGACATGTCCTTGATTTCTATAATTTGTGATATATTATCGATAGAGCAGTACCTTGCTTGTCAGCGGGGAACGTCGTTAGTCTAGAGGACATGATATTTCTCTTCTGACTTAGGGCTGGGAAAGGCATGGAGAAACCTGTTATAAGATTTACAAGGATGCGGTCCTTTTTGGAACGAATTGCAATCTGACGATAACTAGCAGGTATGATCCTCAGTAAACATACTAGAGAACTTTGCTAAATTATCTTCCAAAGAAAAAGGTGCATGTTCAACTTGTATAGTAATCCAATCATTGTAAAACACCTACTAGTCTGACTCTTGTTTTTTAGATTTGAGCAAGAATACCTGAATGATATGATTAAAAAATATACTAAATCTTCAGTAAAATACTTCTGGACTGGCTTGAGAGATGTAGATTCACGTGGAGAGTATAGTTGGGCAAGTGCTGCTGGAGTAAAGCGGGCTGTAACCTTTTCCAACTGGAATTATCTTGAGCCAGGTGAGTGCCTGAGCCTTTAAAGTATTGGAAGGCAGTAACTTGTGCAATGTAACATTCCTCCCAAATGTTCTTCACTTACATTTGAAATGTAAGGGAAGTGATGGTCTTCAGGGCCAGAGTTTATCTATAGAACCATTAAACAGAAGCAGTGACTATCTCTTCCCTACTAAATCCTTGGAAATAACCCAATAAAATAAGCCAGAAAACTCAGTTCTCAGAAACCACCATCAAATGACACAGAGCTTACAACAATTAGTGTGAGTTTTCTATCTTTTCCATGTGAGTCTCAAATAGAATGTAGAAGGTTCATTGTGAAGCATTTTTCATTTTCATCTCTCTGCTTAGCTTCTTTCTCCAAAATGGAAAGTTTATTTCTGTTATTCTCAATGGTTGAGAAGTAAGGCAGCAATATATTGTAGATACTATTGCTTCTGAAAGTTAGATCATCCTTCTTTAATCAGCCTATAGTACTGATCGTAATTAGCCATATAATAAAAACATTTGAGCCAGAAGTCCATTCTGATTGTAGAGTTGAGAAAACAGAGCTTTGAAAGGTGATTTACTTGACAAAGGTTACCTGGATTATTGAATTGCTAAAATCTAGATTGCTTGATAGCTAATCCAAAGCTTTTTAGAGGACTTTGGCATTGTATAAGACAGCAGTTACGACACATTCAATTTTCCTCCCTTTGAATCATTTATATTTTCTTGTGTTTGCACAATGTAGTCATGAAGACCACTTTTTATAACACAGAAATCACAACATGTGAGCATATAATTTAACAAAATATTTCAAATAGAGAATGCCCACATTTGTAATGCATGGTTTCCACCATAAATATCAATGGTATCGATTAGACAATTATGTTTTTACTTCTAGAAGATGGAGAATATAGATGCTAATCCTGGTTCAATTTCACCTCAAATTAGAATATTCTAAAATATGAAACACACGTGATTTCTTTAAGACATTCAGACATCTTAGAGCTAATGTCACATTCTTCATGGATAAGCCTCAGTGGTTAGAGAGATGCTTAGGAAATAACTACAATGGCTATTCTCTCAGTCCCTTAGCCAGAAAAACTGCCATTAAGCTCCTTTCACCATTATTACTCCAAGCTTCAGCCAGCTTGGTCTTTCATGGGCGAGCTGTGAGGGGCAGAACAGAAAAAAGTAATACACCTTTCCAGGGTAACACAGCGTTCTTTTTCCCAGTTCCTTGTTCTTCTTGCTGTCCACGTCTAAGTATGAGACATGAGACCCTATGGCTTCTTTTTTTGATGACCTGGAAGTTGTGCTCATTACTTTCCATGTATGGTCTTCTTGGGTCACACTTCAGGCCGTGTGGTATAATGGAAAGGGGAGCATGGCACTTTGCCAGACAAATCTGGGTTCAAGCTCTGCTTCCACTACTCACTAACTATGCTTGTGGGCAAGCCACTCATCCTTCATCTGGAAAGTGGATCTGAAAATACAAACTATCTTTTAATGTTTTTGTGAATAAATAAAATTCTGGCTGCTATGAAAGAGTAAACAAATGTGTGTTACCACGTATCTTCTTCTACCTTTATTGTCCCAGCCCTTCCTCTGGATCTGAATCTGGAAGCGTTTTGTTTAGAGGTTTCCTAAATTGCCTAAGAACTGTTCAAAACTGTTGAGCTAATATGAGCCACTTAAGCTATCCTGAGCAGCATATTGGTTTAGGACATAGCTCTGGACGCAGACCACCTAGATTCTAATCCTAGGTCAACCACTTACTAACATGTGGCCTTGTCTAAGTCACTAATTCTCACAGAACCTCAGAATGACAATAGAATCCACTCTGTAGGTTTTTGTGAGGACCAGTTCATTAAAAAAACACCTGACAAGTAATGACCACTTCTTTACATTAAAATCATCATCATCATTATTATCATGAGCAACACATTTCTTTCCTCCATTTTTTTTTTCTTATTCTCTTTCCCCACCTTGGCTCAAATAAAGGATAGAGACACTAGAAGATGTTTGGACTTTCATTTTAAAATGTAATTTTTAATTAAACTTTCCAATTCAACCCAGCTTCTCCAGGTGGATGTGTGGCTATGGCTACTGGAAAGCCTCTTGGCAAGTGGGAGGTGAAAGACTGCAGACGTTTCAGAGCACTTTCAATTTGCAAGAAAAGAACTGGGCCCGCCGAGCCGGAAGAGGCAGCCCCCAAGCCCGGAGACCCCTGTCCTGAAGGCTGGCATAATTTCCCCTCGGGTCTTTCTTGTTATAAGGTAAAGTGGCATTCTCATTTGATTCCTGAAGGAAGTTGTCTTTCTGCTCCCCTAGTTCATGTTGTCATACCAATTATGCATTTCCGTAGACATGTATGTAACCTGCCAGAGTGTTTGGGAGCACAGAGCCCTGTCAGGGCACCACTGAAGCTGGTGTCAGACAGCTTATCGCCACATAAACTCATATCCTACCTGAAAGAGCAGGACAAGATCCAGAACTGGCTCTTTCCTAGTTTTCTTTGGTCTGGAAGGTTGAGTGAGATGCATCCATGCTGACACTTTGCTTGTGATTCTTATATCCTAATACACAAAGGTTAACCCACAAAGAGTTCTATCACTTCTAACAATGTAGGGTGTGTATCAGTTCACTGTTTCCACAAAGAAACCATTCCATACCATCCCACAACTCAGTGGCCATGCCAACAAACATTCAGTCCCATGTTCACAGATCTCTGAGTCAGATACTGCTGGCTTGACTGAATTTGGGCTTGAATGGCCAGCTCCGCTTTCAAGCGCAGAGAGCCTGCACCGGACCGCAGACTAAGAGCTGGGATCTGCTGCCCTTGAGTCTGGGTCTCAGGCGGGAGGGGCAGCAGCCATCAGGGGCTTGTTCTTCTCCTAGTCAGTTACTGGAGCCTGAGAGGCAAGCCTGGCCATGTAAGCTCATTTCAGTCCTCTGCTCACTTAACCTCCCCTAATATCCCAATGATCACAGAAAGTCACATGGCCAAGCCTCAACTCAAAGTACAGGAAAGTATACTTCACCCACCAGGAAGCCATGACTCTAATGTATAATTACATCACAGGGCACTGAAGAATTAGGGCCAGTACTTCAGTCTGCCATTGTCTTGTCTGCTCCTCCTCTCCTCCTTTTAAAGTGACTGTTGTGCCTTTGGCATAAAATCAGTCATCATAAACCAAAAAATGGTCTTAAGTGGCAGCTTTTGTTTTGCCACTTTCTGCCAGTGTTTGCACACCAATGCAGTCTGCCCTTTAATTCTTCTTCATCAGAAAATTGTCCCATACCTGTGCAGATCTCAGGGGATTTGTCCACAGTTACACTGTTTGCACATTTCTTTGCAGACGCCTGTCCCCTGAGCACTGATATGTATCTTCTGCAGTCTTAGTGCTGATTCATCTTACCTCTCAAGGTCCTCAGAATGCAAAAGAATATGTGAGTTTTTGGAACAGTTCTCCAGCCTGGCTGAGGAAGATCATGTGGCAGTAGTAGCTGGCACCTCTGCTGGCCTTTAGTTAACATTTTCAGCAGGTCCTGTCTGAGTCTCAGTATTTGTGCATTTATCTTTGTTTTTATTATACCTCTTATTATATTTTGGGGTCCCACACTTTGGACTAGAATTGATCAATTGATTATAATATAATGATTATATGAGAAAAAAATTAACATTATATTTTGTTAAGCTGTTTCATATAGAAAGAATTGTAAGAAAAAGGAATTGGGAAGAAGCTGAGAGATTCTGCCAGGCACTTGGAGGACACCTTCCTAGCTTCAGTCATATGGATGAAATAAAGGAATTTTCTCACTTTTTAATGGACCAGTTCAGGTAATACTTTTAGAATGAGATCTTCTATGCTAAATTTGATGTCCTGTAGGTATTCAGAACTGTTTTATTTTCTAAAAGGGTCCTTCAGTGCTTAGCAGTCACTGACCATCAAGCATTCTTAAGTGAAAGACACTGAAAGATTCAAAGACGAGGGAGACAAAGTCCCCACCTTTTGCATAGCATAATGAAGTCGAGTGGTGGGGGTTAGAAAAGTATGGTTGAGAATGTGGAACGTAGTAAAGCATGCATAGAGAGAGAGTGAGGAGGAAGGAGCCATAGTAGGTAGGTAGGTAGGTAGGTAGGTGCAGGGCAGCTGATTAGAAGGCTGTTGCAGCCCCTAGTGGAAAACTACACTGAGGAAGGCCAGTAAGATGGGAAAACAGGGAAGTGATCAGAGATGTTAGAGACACAATCGATATGCCATGCAATTTGGATGTTATGGTGGATGGAAGATTCCCGGATGATTTTCCTGATGCCCTCAAGGAAACATGGAGAAATATAGGCCACGTGACACCGTCATAGGAGAAACATTTATTTGAAACTCTGGGGATAATCATGGGTATGAAAGGGCTTCAACTTCACAAATTAATTTTTTTCTTCCCTCACTTTGTTGAACTGAAAAGAAGACCCAAATCTAAATCAAGGATTTGGGAGACATCAGGCAAAATTATGAAAAAGAAATTACCACCTAGACATATCCTAGTGAATACATTTCTGACCTCAAAGAAAAACAGAAAAATAAATAAATAAATAATACAAGTACCAAAACACAAAGAAAATCTAACTAGCCTTCTTCTCTAGGACATTAAATGTAAGAAGTCATTTTAAAACTGCCATCTAAAGAGTTTTGAGGTGGAAAATGTTTGCAGTGTATTAATTTTAGTTCCAATGGTGGGGGTTAGAAAAGTACATTGCTTTGTATTTGTGAAGATAGTGATAGATACATACCAACCACCTTTGCTCCCTTTTGAGAAACAACTTTCAAAGACATATTCCAGCTGAGAGATGAGTAAGAAAATCAGGAACAAGAGTAGTTTGTTTATTTTAAAAGAATTGTTAGGAAAGATGTATAACATAAAAACATAACCCCAAGTCTAAATAACGCAATATATGTCATTATAAAAATAGAATAAAATTATCCTAAATCCTGAAAGGGAAACCGAAGAGTATTTTAATAAAACCACATGTTCAGCTCTTACTTAATAAACAAAAACCAGGATGTAAAGAGAGAAAATGGTTGTGAAACCTAAAAGTATAATAAATTCCTCATTTTACCCGGAAATCACATTTAGAAACACAGATTATGTACATTTTAAAAACTTTAAGATAATGTGTAATAAAATGCAAAAGAGTGTTCATCTACTGAATATGTAATGGGTGGAAAAAATCCATAAAGCAAATTATTAAGAAATAAAATAACAAAGCATGAAGTCCAGCATAAAGCAAGATGGCAGAAGACCAAATTTAACTGCTATCAGTTATGTTTTATTCTAAATCTGCAATTTTGTTCAGTAATGAAATACAACTATATGCTGTTGAAAGACTCCTAAAACAAGTCTTGCCAATTACTACCTATGTAGCCCAAAGAATATGATTCCTTCTTTTCCTGGAAAGAAGGGACCACAAAATATTTCAAAACTGAGAAATTCTGTTAAAAGTCCACGTTTTTTAACACCGCCTTAACAATCAAGACAAGAGGCAACACCTTCAGATCATAGAAATAATTAGCGTTGACCTTGAGAGTCGATTATAATGAATGCAAAACTCAGGCCAGGTCTTTCTGCACGTACATTTTTTTAGACAAACCATTGAAGTAGGCACAAAACATTTCATACAACCTGTTTTGTAAGCTCACAGCATCAACAGTCAAGAGCCCATTTCTAATATCATGCTGATTAACAGTTTTTACTTTCACTGATATAAACGCGTTTCTGACCTTCCCTCTGTGAGGACCAAAGCCTCTGTGCGGCTTCGGATCACACATGTTCTTGCGGTGGCCACCTGTGGAGCACATGCCTTTCTAATGCCCTGGAAAGTGAGAATTTCCAGCAGGGCAACTTACTGGCCCCTAGATCTCAGATTTGACACACACAGTATCATACTGTCTAGACTAAAGTATTTTTAAACTATTGTGTTACTGATGTAAACAAACTGGATTTTGAAGAACATTAAGCAAGAAGTTAGGAACTTTAACTGGAACAAGGAGCCACGGTTAAGTACTAAGCAATGAGGTTGTAGATATCTGTGCATTAATTCATGGGACATGGAATATTGTATATGATATAAATGATCATTAAGAGCTTCTATATACAGAACAGATTGCTCTAGAAAACACAACTAATGTCTGAGAGGTAATTAAGGAAGCTCTTGATTTGTTTGTTTCTGATTATACTTGCTGAGGTCCCCCCTCCCAAGTAAAATATTAATACAAATTCATTAGATCTAATTTGGAAAATGTAAAAAAGACAATTTAAAAAAATCTCAAATCCAAGCTCCTAGTTAGAAATATAGTTAACATTTAATGTAAATCTTTTCCATTTTCTTCTCCTATATATATAGTTTATTTTCCACAGAATGTACAATGTTTAAATTTTCCTGATCACAAAAGTAACATATATTGAATTTAGAAAACAGAAAAGCACAAAGAAAAAAACAAAATACCATAATCCTTTCACTCAGAGGGACGTATTTTATTTGCACTCATTGCAGCAGCTAACACAATGCCATATTAAGCATTAGCATATTAAGTCTGCTTAATATGTGCTCCATTCATAAAGAAATCATTTGCTCATGCTATACTTAGAAAGAAAACGTATTCTAAAACCAATATTGTAACCACGAAGGGAAGGAAGGAAGCAAATCCATTTGTATCAGAAAATGATTCTAAAGCTCACTTCTTTCGTGCCTTAGCGTTTTATTTCAGGAATTGACCTTTCTCAGCAAGATGTCCATTGGCCAAATTGTGTATTGCATGCCAAGGAGTTAAGTCAGATTACTTCTATACTTCTCACAATCTAAATTCCACATCTCTATTTGTATTTCAATGAAAAGGATTCATGGTGCACTAAGTCATTAAGGCTCTAAGATCATTGCAACTGGCAGCCCATCAGGGAAGGCCATTGTAGAAACAAAAATAGTTTTAGGATTAGAGAACAAAGCCTTGTTTGCGACGCTGTTGCCGCTGTGTGCACTACCTCCTCTGATGTGGCGTGAATGGATTTAGATATAAATCTAAGGCTTTGCAGACTAAGCACCCTCATCAAACATTATTTATTGGGAGTTACAGCTGAGATACTGTTTTCTTTAGAAACTAGATGCAGCAGGAAATTTGATTTGAGAGTAGGAATGTTAACGCAAATACACATATTAACCTCTCTTAACATGCAATGTCTTCTTAACCTAATAACCTTAAAACCGTATACTTAGTGCTTGGAGTAGAAGAACTTTACAGAGAAAGAGAAAATTTCAGTTTACTCCCCAGTTACCCTTTTTTTTCCTTCAAATTTTCTAAAATCCTCATTCAAGGTGTACAATGATGAATGTGATTTCCGATTTCTTTTTCTCTTTATCTGCCTGCAGATAAACCAGGTCAGACCAGGAATAAGATACAATTGAAATATTTTCCACCTCATACCACACCAAAAAAAACCCCACAAGTAGCTACTATTTCCTATATTTATAACACACTAATGAATCCCTTGAAATGGAAGCTGAAAACTATAAATGTCTGGGTTGAAATGAAGTTCAGTCTCAGAAAGAACGGAAGATTAGAAATTTTTGACAACGGGGCAAACTGTGCCCTCCAGGGAACCGTTCTCTGAGACGGAGCCGAGGAAGCAGAGGTTTCTAGGTGAACAGAGGCAGAGCTGAGAGAGGATGGGGTGGAAAGGTTGGGGACAGATCTCTAAAGAGGCTTTCTGTGGGAGCCGAGTATAGAGTACATGCAGGTGACAAATGATCTTTGATCTTCTTCCTGGTTGTACTATTGATTGTGTAAAAAGATAAAATACCTAATGCTTACTTTAGGGAAACAAAATTCTGCACAAATTCCCTAGGCCCAAATATATTATGTGCAGATTTGAAAGAAATGAAGTTAGAGCCCCAAGTAAACATGAGGAAGGAAACCTAACCTCTTTATTTTATCCATCTGTGTTTAATTATACTGCATATGGCAATTATCTAGACCCTGTGGTTTGAAAATCCAACAGTCAGGAAGTATGATAAATTTGGAAGCCTGTAAGAAAGCTTTAATTAGTTGAAGACACAAATTGTAAATTCCTCTTATAGCTGCTAAGTTCAAGCTGGACTTAATTTGTCTCCACTGGCTTTATCTTAAGTCTACAAATTGGTGATTTTTCTCTCTGAAAGAATACAATGTAACAATAAAAACAGAAAGGGTACAGTCCTTATATTCCACTGCAATAAGTTGAAAAGCTGGAAGTTGAAAAGATGAAAAAGCACTTATTGATATTAAAATATGAGGGAATGCTTGAGCCAAAGAAAAGCAACTATTTTATTGAGAAATGAGAAATTAATTTAAAATTAAGTTTGCTGTAGCCTTTGATTCACTAGCAAATGTTTTTAATGACATATTTCCCAGTAGGCTTGTAGCTATATATTCCATATATTCCTTACATTCTATTTAGCTTGAGAGTAAGGTTTAGATTTGGATCCTACCCCTTCTCTAATATATGTCATATTTATATGCATATAACATTTATATATTTATTGTTATTCACATATAATATATACTCATAGGTACTGATCATACATACCATATGCAGTCAGGTTAAATTATATAGAAAAATAATCAGCATCACCAAAAAAAAAATACATAGAAAATGGTTCACTTATTAAGGCCTAAATAGTATAAAACATTTCAGAGAATATTTTCAAATGGGATTAGAGATGAAGAAAAATTTTTTATGGTAAAAATTTTATGATATAAAATGTTTTTATTATCACTTCCATTTATATTGACAGTATTTCTCTGGACAGAACATAAATGTAATTAGGGGAAGGGATCACTTACAACATATGTCCCTGCCTCTTTAAGTTGTGGTATAGACCCACCTGTCCTTTCTCTTCTCAGCCAGTCTGGACACAGGCATGGGTATAAACAGTGCCCAAATTCAGATTACGGCCCAAAAGAAATGTTGGCCATCTTTTGAAGTCTGTCCTTTGTCCTACTAACCTCACAAAATGTTTTCTGACTTCCTGCAGTTCACAATGAGCTCTTCTTTGATAGAACTTTTATAGTGCTTAAAATTTATGCAGATTTTATATTACCTCCCTGACTAGTTTATATGTCATTTGACGATAGATGTTAGTTCTCATACTTCTCTATAGCACCATTGCACCTAGCTCAATGCCTCATACACAAAAGTACAATAGTTTGAGTGTTCAATATAATCACTTACAGGATTGCTTGATTATATTGCTCTGGTGTAACCCATGGAGTTGGGCATTTAGAAAATATTTGACTTTTTTTACTTTAAACTTAATAGGTAGTGGGAATTAAGTATTTTTTCTAAAATCTTGTCTAATAAAAACTTAGCCAAATTGTTCTCCATTTGAAAGAAAAGAAGTTTGGTAGTATCACAGATATCTTAAGGAAATGCCATTGTTGGGTTTGACTGTATCTGAAAACATTGCCTAATATGAAAGCTCTGCAGTAGAAGTTATAGAATAATCAGACACTTTTTTCCCCTCTTAAATTTGAAGAGGAATAGTTTAGCCTTTCATCTAAAGAATATAACTCAAAATGTATGTTTAAAAAGTATGACCCTTGTTCAATAACATCCCATATTTTGGGTTTGGTTTCACTTTAGAAGACTTCTTTTTATAGCTTGAAACTGTACTTTTCAGTTAGTGACAAGACAAACTTACAAGTGTTAAACACTTGAGACATATGCCAAATGTTTTTGCCAAATCTGTCCTTAAAATTCTTTAACACTTCCTTTTTACATAGTGGCCCACGTTGGCTGTGGATAGGTTTGAATAAAAGGAGCCCAGATTTACAAGGATCCTGGCAATGGAGTGATCGTACCCCAGTAAGTTTGAACTTTCTTGTTTGGGGTGATATGGAAGGAGTATTGGTTTAAAGAACCAGTAACTGATTGTTAAAGAATATGTCCACATATCATACAACCATTAAAATTATGAACATGTAGCTTATTGAAATGGAAATAGATTTATGTATGTGGGGAAAAAATGTTACTAATCTCATTTTTAGTTAAAAAAATAGTATAGTCTATATATAATCTAAAAAATATAAAAACAGATCTATGGCTGGGTAATACATCATTTTTGGGTAGTACAAGTGATTTTTTTCTTTTCTTTTACATTGTACGGGGTATTTTTCCCTTTTTCTCACAATGAGAAGCTTTTGCTTTTATTATAAAAAATAAGAGTTATGTAAAAAAAGGAACTACCTATTGGGGAAATAATTTGATGAAAACTTAAAAAGGCCTTAAATATTATTTCAAATGTTTACATTATCTAAAGAGAGGTTTTAGGTGACATATATAGGAGCAAATTATTCTCAAATATTAAATATTCATTCCACATTACAGTTGTGTCAATTCATTGTGTATTCTTTCTAAATATAAAATTCCTTGACTTTCATTTTCAAACTGGAGCTTATCTTGGATTAGTGAATTGAATAACTAGCATTTTGACACCTGCAAAAAATAGTCTTTTGCAAGCTCCTGACTCTGACTCCAGCTGCAAATTCAATACACTGTTAACCTCTACTTCTGAGACTATAGATTCCTTTGTTTGGAAACTGATGACATTATGAGATTTTCTAAGTCCTCTCATGATTTAGCATCCTGATATAAAAAAAGAGATGAAGAAGTTTTTCTTCCATGGCAAATGAATGTGCTTGAGTGATTAAAGCTGCCTAAATTAGATCTCAATTGTAAATATTTCTACATCAGTCTTAAATTCTCAAGCCTCTTTTGTCTTTTAAGGTGTCTACTATGATCATGGCAAATGAGTTTCAGCAGGATTATGATATCAGAGACTGTGCTGCCATCAAGGTCAGTGCAATACTGGAAAATCTGCATATTGGCATCGTGTCCAGTCAGACAGTAGATCCCTGGGTGCCTTTTGTGTGTGGAGCTTGATATGAGGTGCGATGGGAGGTCAGAAGTACACCCATAGTCCAGCCCTCAAACAACCTAACTTACACTTAATTTGAGAAGAAAAATTCATATTCAAGAAAGATAGCTCTTATTCCTATGCAGTCATAAGCTCCAGAGGAGGGCTAATGAAACTCAGAAGAGGAAGTGATTGCTGTGTCCTATTTCCAGAAAGAGGTGGGACTTGAACTGGACCTTTAGGATGGACAGACTTTGCACAGGTAGGATAGGGTAAGGCTTTTAATGGGGCAGTGGTACCAGGAGGTGGCATAAAACCAAGTGGGAGTAGAAGGGAGAGACTAACGCAGTGAGGAGAACTGAATACAGATCAAGAAAGCTTTTGGTGCTGTGGCTGGAAACAAAGTTGGGAAATTAGATTGATGCCAAATTAAGAAGTTCATACATTTTTGGGTAGGCAGAAGAGTATTATCAAAGGCTTTTGAAATTAACCAAGGAAGGTATAAAGAAGATTCATCTTGAGATGGATTTTAAGATGCAGCAGATTGGACTGGAAGACATAAAAGATGAGTTAGGCATCTTCCTTTGCAGAATTCATTAATTTATTCATCCCATAAATAGCATGTCCACACAGTTTATGGTGCTTGGGAGATACAACATGACAAGGCTTAAAACAGTCATTGCCTTCATACAACTTACAATCTAGCAGGAGATAAAGACAAGTAACAAGCAGTTACAAGGGCTATGGCAGGCGAAGTGTAAGTTTTATCCAAGAACAAGACTGTTTGGGGAGAGTAATGATGGTGATGGTGGTGGTGCTGACAGCAGCAGTTGGTGCTTGCTGACTCAGGAGCTAGACAGAGTGCTAGGTAGGCCACATATACTGTTTCACTTAATACTTAACCAGCCTTGTGCAGTAGGGTCTTTTACCATATGCATCAGGAATATGGAAGAAATTTGAGTTCTGAATACATGGTTACAGAACTGAAATTGTACTCCATGTGTCTGGGTCCACTATGCTGTATGACTAGGCATTTATAGAAACAGAGGGGCACTGGTTTATTTTTTTTTAAAGTACATTTTAATTTTAATTTAGATATTTTGAATCCAAGGTAGCAGTGAGAAACACCCTATAGTAAGTTGAAATCAAGAGACTGGAGGTGAAGGAAAATGCATGTTAAAAAAGAAGCATAAAGGGCCAAGGGTGGATGTGGGAGAATCACCAACACATAAAATGTAAGAAGACGAGGAAAGAGGAGACATCTAGGTAATGTCTTTACTCTGCAAGCCCAGGGAAGAGATTCAAGAAGATGAGTGACCAGGAATATTGTAGGAAGGTTGACACGAAGAACTGAGGAGTCCATCGGAAAGCACTATTTTCAAAGTAACTGTTCTAGTAATAAACTGTATAGTATCATGCCATTTTAATAAAATTCCCAAATTAATACATAAAAAGGTAAAACTTCAGAGAAGCATATAAAGTTCTAGAAAACTGATGCACTAAACTATGTTCTCTGTAAGTAGAGTCCCCATGCATGAAGAGATTTGGAAATCCACCAAAAAAAAGCAAATAAAAGAGATGCCTGCATCAGAAACAAAGCCAGCCAGATCACGGTACTGGAAGGAGAATCTTAACTCGCCTGCCACCACATCTTGGCCTTAAGAGAACATAGTCCAAAAAGTGATAGATGCCCCTCCCAGGTCGTGCCCTCCCGCCCCCCTCCCTTCTCCCCTGCTGGCTGGCTGGAATGTGAAGGGAGCGATCTTGGATCATGTGGGGGGCGGGAACGTCCCAGCAATGCAGAGAAACACCGAAGAAGGAGCCTTGGCCCCTCATGCAAGACGTGTATGTCACTTTTTCATAGATCTGCTTTAATCACAGCTACCATTTAGAAACCACTGAACTAAAACACTCTTTTTTAGCTTGGACTTTTCCAAATTTAAAGTGCAAAAATTCTACAATTTCATATCAACAAAAACAGGAAAAAAACCCAATAATTTGCATTTTGGAGATAAACATGACCATATGATATATTTCCTTTATCAGCCCCTTTGAAGGCTCTTGGTTAGACTGTTACTGTTTAAACACTGTATTCATTCATGTGTTCATTCATTAAACAAATATCTTAGGTGCTAAATCAAGTGAAAGACCTAGGACTTAAAGTTTAGTATTTTAGGAGGGCTGCATCAACTTCAAAATATTCTGGAATCCTCTTTCTCCTTTAGGTCATTGACAGGCCAGGGAGAAGAAGCTGGCATTTCTTTGATGACAGGGAATTTATTTATTTAAAGCCTGTTGCTTGTGATACAAGACTTGAATGGGTGTGCCAGATTCCCAAAGGTAAGTGGTAGTCAATCCTCTTCACAGTCTTCTCACGTGAACATTGTGAATGCTGAACCACCAGTAGATGCGATTAATATATTAAGCTCCATCCTACCTGACTCCTACCCCTAGTGGAAGGCTGGCTGACTAGCATTTAGATGATACCTTCCCTTTGATCATGAAGGACTTTGTGCTGAAGATAAAATTTAAGGGTAATTTAGAGAGATTAGATTTTGGAATGAAAGATTATTTCAAGTAAAAGAAGACACAAACAGAGGGAATCATTTTAATGTTAATTTCCATGCAAAATGAAGAACAAAATGAAGATAAACTTGGGAAGAATGAAGCAAGAGTAAGAAATCAAATTTTGGCAGGTCCTTGCAAAATGTGGAAGCAATTTTCAACGAACTCCAAAACTGCTAATAGTTTAGGAAATCCAAATTCAAATTCAGGAAACCATAAGCTTGATAGTACAGGCTTTGGTGATGACAAATAGAGAGAAAGGAAAATAAATAGATACCTTTTACTCAGCTTTTGACTAGGAAAATGTTGAAGAAATATTAGGGAAAATGTTAAGATTTTTAACCCCGAATTATTTTTTAATGATTTTAAAATAATTTTTATTGGTTATTTAAATTATATTAGAACCAGTTGCAATGCACAGAAGGTTCTAATTATATTAGAATCTGTGGTAACTGCACAGAAAGCTCTAAAATGAATCTCTGGACTGAATGTAAACAGATCATTAAAACTAAGGGTATATCCTCCTGCAAGTTCTCAAAGAACCCACACGTTATATCATGGAACTACCTATTAGAAGACTGGTTTCTGCCCTTAAAAAAGGGCCACCACATACCTTCAAAAGACCTTCAGATGTGACATCCAGTACAGTAACTAGCAAGCCTCTTTCACAGAGGCACTCTGGCAGGCCATTAATAAAGAAGGAAAGAGAGAGAGAGAGAGAGAGAGAGAGAGAGAGAGTGTGTGTGTGTGTGTGCTGATGGCGTTTTTCTAAAGGAGAGATTATACCCAAGTTATTCCTGATTATTTGATTAAACCTGAAAGAGGATCAATGGAAAACCAGTATGTATAACCTTTAAACAACTGGAACAGGAGCATGCATGATTAACTTGGACAGTGTCTCTGGTCTGAAGCCTTTGTAGTGATGCTCACATTAGTCTCTGGTGTTTGCTAGCATGCCACAGAGCATGTCATTGCTCCCTCCAAAGCGTGCCCTCAGTGGTAGCCGCTTCCCCCGCCCCGTCTGAATGGTGGGGCAAACCCAAGAGTTTACACCAGGGCAGCCTTAGACACGACAAACCCGTAACCACAGGAAACGTTCTGAAGAGTGTGTGGTTTTTCTCTTTTCTATACATTTTTATTTTAAACAAAAGAAAAGGGGCTTCACTAACTTAGCAAACATAAACCAATTAATCAAACAAATAAATCTTCAAAATAATTGCACCACCGAAAAGCCTCTTGAGTCCATTAAAGGCAACTACTTACAGTGTGCTATAATCTGGTTGGATGCTAAACTTAAGCCACTTGCTTTCTTCCTTTTACAGGCCGTACTCCAAAGACACCAGACTGGTACAATCCAGGTGAGTTAAGAAAATTGAAATTTGGCTAAAGCTGCTTTTACCTTTCCAATAATGTATTTACTTAACTACTGAAGCTCAGGCCTATGTGCGAGCTTCTTCTCTAGCCCATCTTCAAGTGCAGTGAGGTATCTGCAGGCAGGGAAGGTGATGGGCTGGTGTGGGATGAGGCTGTGCAGCTGGATCTATGCTCCTCTGTGAGTACAGGACTCATGGCAGTCATTCATGGCTCGAGAATTGTTGGTTCCTTCCAGGCAGCACCACCCTGGCCAGGGAGAGCCAATAACCTAAATGGATTACTGTATGTAAATAGTAGAGGGTACTGTTTGGTTTGCAGTCATAACTCTGATATTCTTCTTCTTCAGAGCGCGCTGGAACTCATGGACCTCCAGTCGTAATAGAAGGGAGTGAATATTGGTTTGTGGCTCATCTTCACTTAAACTATGAAGAAGCTGCCCTGTATTGTGCTAGCAATCACAGCTCTCTGGCTACTTTAACATCTTTTGCAGGACTGAAGGCCATCAAAAACAAAATAGCCAATGTAATTGAAAAGAATCTCTTTTTAAATATTTTTCTTACTTTTGGAAAATATTTCAAAAATCTCGCCAAAATCTACAAAAGTTAAATGTTCCTCACAAGTAAAATTTGCCCAACAACATCCAGATTTCTTGTTTCATGTTGAAAAAGTGAAATAAAATTGCTTAACGTTTTAAAAGATTCAAGACTAGTTATAAATATCAATTTGTGAGTATCAAACGATACTAAGATTAGTCTAATCCCTTGTCACATTTTTTTACTAAAGTTAACATGATGGTCAACTTGAGTTTCTGTTTCTACTAATAACTAACTTTGCGACACAGTTTTTTGGAGGAAAAGTAACTTATTTTTAAATTTATAATTAGTTCCCATAGGATATTGCTGTATGCCTGTAATCATAGTGACCATATTTTCTGTATGCAAAATAGGGCCTGTGAACATACAGAGTTTTCAAACTACTTTTTTGGTGAAAGGACCTGGTTTGTGTAATACAGAAATTAAAGTGATGTAATGGTTGTAAAATTTACTACAGTAAATTTTAGTGGTTTGTGGTTATGGTGAGACAGAACGTTTAAATTAAAATTCTCCTGGAAAGCTTAGCATATGTACGAGTATGTGTTTGTTTCCTTGTTTTTCAGATATCTGGTGATGAGCAGAAGTGGTGGGTGAGAACTACGGAGCAGCCAATGCATCGGCGTTTTATATATCAGTATGTGACATCGCTGAGGCCGCCTTTGTAAAGTTATTTAAAAGAAACAGTCCCAAGTTCCCTTTTTACTGAATGGATTACTATTTATAATTAGTTTTGAGTATTAACCCATTAACTGCCTAGACTGGAGAAACCGAGTCCTTTTGCATATTAGCCTCAAGAAAAACATGGTATAAAATAATGGTGTAACATTAGGGTTAAAATTGCAGTAAAAAACAAAATGGAACATGTAGCCCATTACAAGTTGTCAAATCTCTTGTTTTCTTTCAGTTCACGGTATTTATGGCATCACTTTCCTATAACGTTTGGAGAGGAATGCTTGTACATGTCTGCCAAGACTTGGTTTAGTGGTAAGTTAATTCCAAATCCTTTAATGCTGATTATGTAATATGTGAACTTCAGGTTCAATTACTAGCTTAATCTTGTTTTCCTTTTATGTGTTTGATAACTTCATCCTATTCTGATTTATTACTAATGATAATAGTTCAAATTCCAAATGCAAATAAAGGTACTGTTCACTGTGAATATTTTGACTTCTTTTATCTTAAAGTGGTTCTTTACGAATAAACTTACCACTTTCATAACTGATAAGCATATGGAAAATTTTTCAAAGCTAAATAGGCAGCAGTTCTAAAATAGCTGAGGTCTCTTTCCCCACCATTAGCCTTCTGTTTCAACTCCCTATTTCCTGCCTTCAGGAACTGTGGTCATTATGCCACACACATGCACTTAATAGACAATATTGGTATGCTGTGACCTACTTACATGAATAATAATAGAAGACAAAAATGGCTAGAGAAGAAAAGGAATATATTTTAACCATATGGAAAAAATTAATATAAGGAGACTTTTCTTACTACTGGATTGTTTTTAAAATGTGCTGAATGGAAAACTCTCACCACAGTAATCCTGCTTTTCATTTCTCAGACTTAAATAAACCAGCAGACTGTAAAACCAAGTTGCCCTTCATCTGTGAAAAATATAATGTGTCTTCATTAGAGAAGTATAGTCCAGATTCTGCAGCTAAAATACAGTGCTCTGGGGACTGGATTACTTTTCAGAATAAGGTAAAAAGAGAACTACTGCATTGTGGAAGTGATGATTGCTTTCATGATGGTTGTATGGCCTGTGGCAGAGTGTCCACCCATCAAATGACTTCACTAAGACAGCCTCTGCATATTTCACTATGATCCTCTACACTGCAAGTTAACTCTCAAGTTAGTCATGCCTACAGATCTTTCAAAGTACTGTGTTCCTTCTCTGTTGCTACTAAAACTTAAATTACTGAAGCTGATATGTCAAAAAGAGTGATGCATTGAAGAGTCAGGACTATCTCTATGGCATGTAGGAAACTGACTTAATTTCTGGCTTATAAATTTTCCCCTTTAAGGAAAACATCCAAGCAGCATCTACCAATCAAATTAAACCTACTTTTTGGGAACTACACATATGCTAACAAAATGTTAATCCTTGGTCTTGCCTAGGTTTGGGAAATGCTGCATTCCATGCTTGCATCTTTGAGATGCATAGTCCACATTGGTATAGATACTCTTAGGAAATGCATTTTGCTGCTAAAGAGTGAGATTGCTACAGTATATTAAAACATTTTTTTTCCTCACTCACATAAAAGAAGTTTGAAGGTAAGCAGGCTTGTCTTGGCATGGAAGCTCCAAGAAGTCTTCAAAACCAGACCCCTTTTGTCTTTCTGATCCACCATTCTTAGCATAAGGCTTCTAAGTTTAAATTCAAGGTTTTTGCACCTAGAGCCTTTTCTAGAAGCCACCCAATGACTTCTATCACATTGGTCACTCTAGTTTGTATGGAGGCTGAAAAAAAACCCACATTTTGTAGAATCTTTAAAGGAACACAATTTGGGACATACTATTACATATTAATATGATCATAATATCAAAAAGGAAAAGGAAGGCATGTGTCTGATGGCTGAAAGCACTTTAAAGTTAAAATATTAGGGATATATTTTAACTTTTAAGATTAGGACAATCTTTTTTTTTCCGCTAAGGTACTGGGACTAAATTTATTTACATAACTGATGTGAAGTTGAATTAAAATATCCTGCCAACAGAAAGAGGACTAGTTTCTTTTAAAATGTGGGGTTTTTAAAAAATATAAGTAGGTAACAATTAAGAGTGCAGACTTTGAAATCAGATGGAATAGAATCTAAATGATGACCAGACCACTGTATGGCTATTTCACTTACTGGCAAAGTCATTTAACTTCCCTGTGCCTCAGTTTCTCCATTTGTTGTGAGAAATAAATGAGATAATATAATGCAAACTGTTTAGCACATAGGACAGAACAAATGTGAGATTTTTAAAGACAATAGTTTGGAGATCACTTTTCAGTTGTTTAAACTGAGAACATAGATCTGCATTCTTACAATTCTACTTCATGAATTTCTGTACCTCACAGCCTGAAAATTAGCATCCATCTAAAAGATGAGCATTTACTTCCCAAGTGAGCTTTCCCATGCTTGGAATTCTAGGCCTCATGTATGTTTTTTGTTTACAGTGTTTTCTAAAGATCAAACCCAAGACTCTCACATTTTCTCAAGCGAGTGATATTTGTCACAGCTATGGTGGCACCCTTCCTTCAGTGTTGAGCCAGAGAGAACAAGGTAGCAGAATTGTTTTGGGAACATCTTTTATTCTGCTCTGGGGGTTCGTTTTGGGAGGCTGTGGGGAATTAACATATAAAAACCTTATTAAAGTACTTTTTTATGAAATAGGTAAAACACTATCTTGGTAGTTAGATAAGCAAGAAGTATTCACAGACATTTTTAGTATACTTTTAAATTGAATATATCAAATGCTTTTTAAAAAAAATTTCTTTCTGACAGACTTTATTACATACTTGCTTCCGGATATGGAAGCGACCTTGTGGATTGGTTTGCGCTGGACTGCCTACGAAAGGATAAACAAATGGACAGATAACAAAGAGCTCACATATAGTAACTTTCACCCACTGGTGGTTGGCTGGAGACCAAGAATACCAACAAATGTAAGGTTTTTGACTTAATAATCTATATACCTCTGTGAAATACCCGTCTTCCATAAATGATTGGATTAAGAACAAGGGCCTATTGTAGAGTCCACTTGTAGGAAATGTCCAGAATAGGCACATCTATGAGGTAAAATGTAGATTCATGGTTGCCAGAGACTAAGGAAGATGGAAGGATTGGGGGTGATAGCTAAAGGGTATGAGATTTCTTTAGGGGGTAGTGAAAATGTCTTAAAATTGATTGGGAAATGGTTGCACAACTCTGTGATATACTAAGAACTATGGAATGTATGCTTTAAATGGGCGAATTGTATCACCTATGAATTATATCTCAATAGTACTGTCAGAAGAACAAAAAGAACTGCAGTAGGAGCTCCCCCAGCTCTCGGGTGGACACCCTTGCTTTCACAGTGGCCTCAGATTCCATGGCACTTGCTTCACAATCACATAAAACCATCGAGTAGTGAGTTGTAAATAGAAGCAAATATAAACACTTTGCGTAACATTTTGGGATTTGGGACTGTATCCTGAGGCAAAAGTACAAAACTGGTCATTGTTGATCCTTTTCCCTAAGAGCTAAATGTAAAGAAGCTCTAGGAAGGAAGAGGGCATTCTATGAACAATAACCACCGTGCACCGTGACGCCCCGCTGCTTCTGCCCTCCCTATACATCCCTAGGCATAAGGATACGAACTGCCTTCTGCACAAAGGACGGAGATTAAGAAATTCAAGTCGAATTCCAAATATATGTCCTAGACAATAATCAGCTGATGTTCCCGATACAGTGTAATGCAGTAAACGTTGAGGATGGTGGCCAAGGAACTCTGAATCATGAGTTATGTATAAAAAATCATAATCATGATGATGTACAAAGTAAATATCAAAATAATGCTTGGTTATTGTAGAAAATTTGGAAGTTATAGGAGAGTAAACACAATCAAGAAAAATATCAACCCTGATCCCCCACTTGCACTTAGGCTGGTAGCTTTTAAACTTTCAACAATGACCCATAGTAAGAAATACATTTAAATCATTATTCCACATGTAGACATTGAATTGAAACAAAAGTTTCAGGAAGCAACACTTACCCTTATAGCTTATGCACATATTTCCTTTTTTATTCATGCTTCACTACATACAGTAGGACTTCCAGAACCATGTTAAAGACCAGGAGTAATACCCACCGTCCTAGACTTGATCTGGACTTTGATGGGACTGTCTGCAGCCTTTCATTGTTATATATGATGTTGAGTCTTTGTTTAAGATACATTGTTTTCTATAATTATCTTATTTTAGATTTTTGTTTAGGAATAAGTGGTGGATTTTCTAAAACTTGATTCCAGCATCTATTGAAATTGGCATATAATTTTTCCCATTAAACCTATTGATATGTGTATAATACATTAATAATGTGTAATAATGATGTGTATAATATATTAATATGTGTGTAAGACATTAAACCATCTTTATCTTCTTATAAAATCTAGTTACTCAGAATGGATTATTATTTTACTATTTTACTGAGTTGGATTTGTTAGAATTTTATTTGGGAGTAAATGTTTTCATCTCTGTTCATAGATAGGATTTTTTATGCTATATTGTCAGATTTTTTTTTCCCAATCATGTCAGCTTCATAAGATGAACTAGGGAGCTTTCTGCCTTTCTGTTTTGAAATTATGACTCAGCTTAGGGATATATTTCCCTGAAAGATTGAAGGAACTACCTACAGAAACATGCGATGTTAGAACTCTTTTTAGAAATGATTCTTTCATAAGAAAGGGATTTAATGCAGTAGTTGAGGGCCTAACTAAACTCTGGAATCACATTGTTTGGGTTTGAATTCCATTCACCTGTTTAATATGCAAGTTCACTTAGCTTTTTTTAAGCCTCAGTTTTTCATCTGCAAACTCTGATACCATTGTAGCTACAACACAATGTGAGGATTACATAAGAATTCATTGAAAGCTTTTAGCACTGTAACTGACACATGGTTTTAAAAATGAGTTGTTATTAATTTTCAGTTTCTTCCTAAGTTACTGGTACCTTTTTGTGTTTCAACTTCTCCTTTTAACAGTTGTGCTCATTTGTATTTTTCCAGGTTGTCTGTTTCATGTAAATTTTCAAATATAGTAGAATAAAGTTGTGTATGCTATTATCTTTTAAAATACCCCTATCTTATTTTGATTGTTTTTATTTTTCCTTATGTATATTTTGACAAAAACTGGTGTATGTTAATGATTTTCTCTTTCCTCTTCTTCACCCTCTACTTGTATTGCTTTCAGTGTATTTACAAATACTACTACATTTTTCTATTCTTCACTTTCTATATTGAATTATTTGCTCATCTTTCCTTTAAAAAATATAGAACATATTTAATAATACATGCTTGTCTCCTCATGAAGTTTTACTCATATCCCTTTAATATTCCTCATGTTATCCTTTCCTATAATTATTTTATTTCAGTTTTGGTTCAATGTTTATTGAGTAGCTTGTGTTGATTTTTTTTTTTTAATCTTTAGCTCCTGGGATAAGCTTACTTTTCTTATTTTTCTTAGTGTGCTTCTAACTACAGAAAAGTATTGAATAAACTTTCATGTCTAGTATTACTGATTTGTGGTAAGAGAAATGAAAGCTAGATACATTTATGGAAATTTTTGTAGTGACTAGTATAGGATCAAAGCTTTAAGGTGAGTTCTCTGTTGTGTGGTACAGTTTTCATTGTAAAAAGTTTATAAACATCTAAAAATTTGAATTTATAGTCGTTACGTTTTTGCCTACTTGAGATGTCAAGAGTGATAGCAGTTATATAATTGTGTTTTCATCTTCTATTTCTCTTTATCTGTTTCAAAGATATATTTATCAATATTGCACTACTTTGTTTTATAATTTGTAAAGTTAATTGCCCTTTTCCCATACTTTGGAAATTTATCAGGATTTCCTTAGCAATTTCACAGTCAGCTCCTTCATGGGATTTTTTACAGGAGGAAAAATCCAGTTTGGAATGTAATGTTCTCTTGCTAAGGCCTTCAGACTGAGGGTTTCATGATTTCTTATACAGATTTGCCTTTTTGTTTAGTTTTTTGAGGAAGAGTCCCACTACCACTGTGCTCTCATACTCAACCTCCAAACGTCACCTTTCACTGGCACGTGGAACTTTACCTCCTGCAGCGATCACCACACGGTGTCTCTCTGTCAGAAGTATGCAGGTACACATTATCGCCTAGATCACTGTGCTATTTTATGCTATTAGATATGTACAGTACTTTTTCACAACAATCTTATAAGTGAGTCAGTATTAATTTATAATCATACAGCTTCCCTAAAATTTCATCATGGCTCTATCCATATTGGCTCAGTGAATCAGATTAGCTCAAATAGGATGTGATTTTTTTTCAAGTATCATTACTTACTTAAATACTAAAATTAAGTATCAAATGTAATTTGTTAATAGGAGTTGTCTAATTATAATAAGTTATATGGTTGAATTTTTTTCTTTTTATTCTGGCAGTTTTTAGATTTTACTTTCTATCATGGGGAAAGGAGGAGAAAAAACATAATAATGACTTTAATTGACTTCAGTTTAAACATTTGCAGTTAAATTTAGTATTTAAAATGATGTGAGACATTACAAGTGGATCAGTCTGTGCCTTCTATCCAAATAAAAATATGTACTAAAAATAAGAATCCATATTTTCAAAAAGATATTTTTAAAGGTGTTAAATTGCTTTCATTGATCACAGTAAGTTCTCAACAAATGATTTAAAAACAAAAACTTTGTCATGCAATGAAAACCTCAATTAGATAATTCATGTACTTCTGAAGAACTTTTTGTTAAATTTATCTTTGCTCATTTGTCTCATACTTTTGAGTAGCTGCCTTATTCAGAGAAGTACTTGGAAGCAGTAATTCAAGCACATCTTCTTGTGGGTAGTTCCATGTGTTTCCCTGGGAGCTCTCCAAGATGAGAACTTTGTAAGGGGAACACCTAACACCTGTTGTTAAAGCAGTTCAAACAAAGGAGATACTTAACAACAAGCTGAACCCATAGTCTTATTTCAGACTTCTCTTATTTATAGCTTTTGTCCTTCCTAAATCAGATCAACTAAAACAGATTTTTTTCTAATTTTAGAAAACAAATGCTGTGGCTCACACATTTTTATGAAGGTATACAGCAGATGTATCTAGTCCCCCCACTCAAAATCTAAAATAAATGAGTAGATAAGTAATATTTGAAGTACATTAGTATGGGGAGAAATTTGAAAGTATGTCCCGTGACTTGTATGACCTGTGACTTGCCGAATGATTTATTTTCATGGTTTTTTTTTCTTTTACACACAGAAATTGAAGGCACACAGACCTTGAAGAATACTTCAGACACTGTAAAGTATCTAAATAATCTGTACAAAATAATCCTGAAGACCCTGACTTGGTCTGATGCACTAAGGGAATGTCAGGAAAATAACATGCAGCTGGTGAGCATCACAGACCCTTACCAGCAGGCGTTCCTCACTGTACAGGCGGTTCCGCTTAACTCTGCTCTGTGGATCGGACTCTCCAGTCAAGATGTAAGTCTTCACAAGTAATGACTCTACAGCATCTTCCTATGCTGACAGACAGTGACTGCAGTGGAGGGGGGCGGACTTGATAATATGGGTGAATGTTGAAACCATAATGTTGTTTATGTGAAACCTTCGTAAGAGTGTATACTAATGATACTTTAATTTAAAAAAAGAAAAAGAAAAAAAAAGAATTAGGCAAGTTTCCCACTATAAAAAAAAGGTATAAGTCTTCAGTCTCAAGTGCCAGGTTTGACCTTTTTTATCACATATCAGAATAAAGAAACAGAAGACTGTAAAATATTACTCCAGTGAATGAGTTTCATGAAGATTTGTTTTTAGTGACAATCATCTTTCCATTGTCGAAGGATCTGGTGCTTCATTGTTACGTAGCTGAGCATTTATTTTAATTTATTCTAATGAAAGACTGATCTGGAATCAGGAGCTGATGGTCCTTCTTAGCCAATGAAATGAAGAGAGAAAAGGAAGAATTAAAAAGTCAGGTGGGGTGGGTGGGTGGCAGCGCTGTGGATGGTGTTGAAGAGACCTTTTTATCTTTTGCAGAGTCAACAGAGTGAAAGTAAGCCACTCTAAAAGGGAATAGAATAGTGTTTAACCACATTTCAGGACCTGATCCTGGATAGGTGTCCTAGATACCTCTCTCTCACTCATCTCATAGCCCAGTGACGAATACTAGTCTCCTATTAATTCCCAACACTATATACAAACATGTGGTGCAAACAGGAGCCCTTATGATAAAGAAGGCTTTGCCTATGATCAATAAGAATTTTTTTTTAGGCCTACAATTCCTCATATTGTAGGCCATTTTTGCCTATTTTGTAGGCCTCCTATATAATAATTTGATACTTAGTATTACTTTGTAATCCCAGTACCTAACAATAAATATGGTTTTATGGTATATATCCTTCAAGTTATTTTTGTATGTACACATATTTATTTTTAAGACAACTGGGACCATATTTTTTTGTAACTTTTTTCCCACTTAAGGGTTTTAATTTTGTTTTTTATCTTGTTTCAATCTTCACTATGTTTCTCTTTTTCCTTTCATTCTTTAACATTTTATTTAGCTGTCTGTTTATTATGTATCTTTACAAGCTGCCTTAAATCTTTGTAACATGACGGTATAAATAAATAAAACTTTTCATTGAAAGCAATGGGAAAGCATTGAAAGATTTTACATCTACTAGTAACAATATCAGATTTTTAAGTAACAAAAATTACACTGGATTAATGATTAGAGATGTGAGTTTCTTGCAGAAATTCATGCAGGAAATGATGTTGGCCTGAATTCACTAAGGCATGTTTACAGTGTCTGTGGTGCAGTTCTGGGTTATGTAAAGTCTAGAGTGTGGCTGTGACAGAGGTTACTCAAGTGCATAGAAGTGAAAGTACATAGAAATAGAGGAAGTCAAGAAGGCTTTGGGACTGGCCAAGTCATCCCCATGAACACAGACATCCCTAAGTCAATGGTAGGACCAGGAGGAGAGAGGAGGACATGGCGAACCTCCTTAGTGAATGTCAGGGAGGAGCATGGGGGCCAAGACCTCAATGAATGGGTAAAGAGAGACAAGGAATCAGTGCTGGCAGTGAAAAGGAGGACATAAACCTCAAAGGAAATGATCAACGCAGATAAAGATACAACTACCCCATTCTCATAGCCCTGTGGTGTCTGAGAATGGAAAAACAGACAGGCTTCTCTTGTGAGTGCTGAGAGGAGATTATTCCCTTGGGAAAGACAGGTTTTCATTAAAGCCAGTTAAGGTCGAGGATTTAGTAAAGAGATATTTACGGTCTTAATGAAGAGATTTAGTATTCAGTAAAGAGATAAAAGATGTGGTGATTTATCTATAAGGAATAGAAGCTGGGTTGTTTGGGAGTGCAGCAAAGAGGAAGGAATCAGGGTAATGGGGCGTATGGCCCACTGGAGGCCACGTGGCTTGGGCTTAACTGGTCGCAAGGTTACAGCTGGGGACTCTGGTGGGGAACAGCTGGTAGCTCTGAGGCTAGACCATGAACGCTCGTTAGGTTCTCTAGGGAGGCTGTGCGTGACTTCCCCCAGTATTCCAAATAAACCAGGGATGCAAAACTGCCTTGGGCCTCAAGAAAGCTTAACTCAGTGGGTCACCGTATAAGGCCTGGTGCTCTGACGGCCCCATGGGGGAGCCCAGACAGGCCTGTACCCCGCAGTCCATCCTCTGGACCTTTATACCTATTCTGTAAAGCCTCTCTCAAGATAGGTGGGTGGCCAGGCCCCTGTCAGATGGTAAAGATAGAGATTCACAGACTTCTGGTGCATAAGAGAAATATAGTGAATGAGGAAGTGTCTCTCCAAAGACAAATGCAAAACCAGCCACAGGGCCGGAGGGGTTAGGAGGAAGAGCTATTTATGCAGTTCTTCTCGTGTACCAGCAAGCCACAGTCATGTGTTTTACACATTACCCCATGAGGTAATAAGGGTAAGTGTCACATCCATTTAATGGATGAGAGGATGGAAACCTGGTGAGGTAAACTCACAATCAAATACTACAAAATGAGCAAACCAGAGTTCAAAACTAGGTATTCTGAGCTCTGAAGTCCCTGTTTTTTCCACCACTACGTGTTGTCTCCAGCTCAGTGAGTGCTTAAGCGGTCCTCCCTCCATTTTAGCTTTCTAGATTTCCAGCGACCAATGGTCCCAGTCACGTGTGAGACAGCATCGCATAATGGTTCAGACCATAGACTCCAGGACCCGATGACCTGGATTGGAGTCCCATCGCTGTAGTATATTTCCTGGGTGACTGGCACACATCACTTCCTTCAGTGTCCTCATCTGTGAAATGGTTGTAATAACAGTACCTGTCTCATAGAGTTGTTATAAGGATTAAATAACTCAGTACTTGTAAAGCACTTAGAACCCTGGCACAGAGTAAGTGTTTTGGAAGTGCATGTTACATGTAAGATAGAATTTAAAGTCGTTAGATTGACCGTGAGGGTCAAAGTAACACAAAAGGGACAAAATGAAGTATTGCCACTTGAAACGTATTTCTGCTCCTGACAGGATGGACTCAACTTTGGTTGGTCAGATGGGAAACATCTTCAGTTTAGTCGCTGGGCTGAAAATAATGAACAACTCGAAGACTGTGTAATATTAGACACTGATGGATTCTGGAAAACATCTGACTGCAATCGTAATCAACCGGGTGCGATTTGCTACTACCCAGGAAGTACATGATTTCAAATATTTTAATTCCTAAATTAGTATAGTCTCATGAGTAGCAGATTTTAGGGGAGTGATTTTGTAAAATCTGGTTTTGAAATCGTAAAGAAACTATAATCATGTCCTTTTACATGATTATGAACATGTGGAATTTTGTATTCAAGTAGAATTATTATATATGAAATATTTTGTCATTAATTTATTTCAGGCATATTTTAGGTTCATTTTTGTCAGTTGACAATGGTAATTGACATTTTAGTTTTAAGTCTCCCTTAGCTTCATTGTATTTATTTTGTGTTTATAGTCTCACAGAAATCTTATACTTGTGGGAATCCTTTTATAATTCTTGTCATTGACAACTAACATTTCTTTTATGAGTCACTGTTAAGATTTATTTGGTTGTGAGTAGTAGGAACCAGCTCAAGCTAGTTTAAACCCAAAGGAAAATTTAGATCCTCAGCTATGGGGATACAGGGGAGCCTCATAAGGAATGGGAATCAGAAACTTGATGGGAACCAGGGACCCAGAGATAGTGCCTTCCATCTGTCCTTTCTGTTTCTGTCTGTGCATCTGCACTCTCCTGTTTGTATACTCTCTTCTTCTCTTTGCACATGGTAAAATATGGTGGCTCTGTGGCTTTTAATTATAGCCATAACTGGATAAGAACTGATGATCTCTGAATTCCATTTTTCGAATTATGAGAGAGAATCTGACGGACTCAGCTTGAGTCACGTATGCAATCTTTAGTGGTTTCACAATTGCCAGGAGCCCACATATGTGGGTTTGTGTTAGAAGACAAGGGGAGTTGTGAGCAAGGAGAGATGTTGAATGGCTTCTACTACATATTATATCAGTTTGATTGGCTTGGAGTAGAGCATGTCTGTATTTACTCTTCTGGAGTGTAGGGTCTTTTCATAAAATACGGGGGGAACCATATTCAGATTTTCTAGATGTCAGATTTTGAATTATTTGTTTGCTTTGGTTAAAGCAATAGCCTATCTAGAACATCAAGTATTTCATTAAAATTTTCCTTTAAAACTAAAGAAGATATCAATAACCAGAAACTTGAAGATGAATTTTCAAAGTGTTAGGTGCCTATTATCAATAGGTTTGTAGCATTCTGAGATGGCTCCTTGTATTTAAAGTTTGTTGACGCAGGAAGACAGAAACTTCAATTAAGCTAATAGCACCTCTTTTTTTACATTCTCCTAGTCACTCCACAGCATGGCAAAGAAAATTATGTTAAATATTTCCTTCCTACAGAAGGAAAGTTACCCAGTTAGGAGATCACATTACAGTTCAGTATAAACAGAACAAGCATCACCAGGCTATAATTTCTTGGCTTCCTGAATATTTCCTACAAATCAAACCTAATGACTGTGAACAGGATTTAACATTTATATCTGAAATTTACAGTCTTACCATTGATTCTTTTCCTAGATGCAACTGAAAAAGAGGTCAAAGCAGTAAACAGTGTTCAGTGTCCATCTCCTGTTCTAAATACTCCGTGGATACCATTTCAGAACTGTTGTTATAATTTCATGATAGCAAAGAATAGATATGTGGTACCAACACAAGATGAAGCTCATTCTAAATGCCAGAAACTGAGTAAGTATATTACATGGCCATTTATATTACATATGTCATTAAAAAACAAATCTCACCTGAGTGTTTTATAAGTATTTCTAAATAGCGCTAGCAATTAGATCTCAAAAATACTCATCTCCTAAATTCTACCTTATCAACAACAAAGTATTAATGGACCTATAAACTTTGTGGAAAGTTCCTATGGAAAATACCAAACCATTATTGCCCAAAAATACACTCTCTAGAACACTTGTCTTGAGAGATACTCTACAAAAAAGGATCCTTAGAAAAAGAATAAGGCTGAGAAACACTACACATCACTTTCTGTTAGACATTATCAAATGTACATTAGCACATACTTTAACAAATACCAGCATAAAGGAGCTAATTTAACTTTGTTTTAACCAATGTTTGCATTTTTTGTCTACTAAGCCCTCTTTTAAACAGGAACTTCTGTTAATTTCCTGAGTAACACACATTAGGAAATGCTAAACATTTTAGGCTCTAATATAAGAGTGATCTATAAGGAAAAAGATCTTACAGACCTCCCACAGGGTTCTATTTATTATAGTCTTTGACAATGTTCATTAATATAGATGGATTTGTACCAACTCAAAATAAGCTTTAAATGGGGAAAAGTGAAGTAAATCAATGTTTTAAATTCTCCACTCACCTACTAGTTTTCCACTATTCTATAAAACCAAATTTAACTTCAAAATGTTTGAAAACTTTTTAACCCTATGCATTTCAGTACAAAAAGGTAATTTTAGTTTACATGTTTTCATGATACTATCATGTTTACATGTACTATTGCTTAAGTTCTAGAGTGCATTAAACTGGGAAATAAAAATTTCTAAATCTATCAAACAAAATATAGATAAGTCATTATTAAAATTATTGACTACTTTTATTTCACAGATCCCAAGTCACATATTCTGAGTATTCGAGATGAAAAAGAGAATAACTTTGTTCTTGAGCAACTTTTGCACTTCAATAATATGGCTTCATGGATCATGTTAGGTATGACTTATGAAAGTAAGTTCTAAATCTTCTGGTTTTCTCTACTTATATTCATACTTCATTTTAAACTATTTGTTTATGAAGCTATAAAAGTATTGCTCTTCAGAGTATATGTTTATCAACTTATAAAATTATAATTACGCACTTAGCATAACTTATATAAATACCAAAACAGTTTTTGTGTCTCTGCTCAACCATTAAAATGCCTTTGTCGCCTAGCCTAGAGTGAAATGGTGAAAAATAACTTCCTTTCTCCACTCTCCCTTCTAGCAACTCAAGACTAACCAAAAATGACCGCCCTGCCATATAAATCGCAGTACTTACTCTGTATCCCTACTGTGTGGGATTACTGAGAACAGAACTACCTTCTACTAATGTTGTACCTTTGGGTTTATACCGTTGGCAAGGGGTATACATTAGAAAAATGAGACACATAATGTGACAATTGGATAGGATATTTGAAATTGGGACTAAATACCACAAACCCAGTGTAGAAGTGCTTGCTATGAAATTTTTTAAAATGCCAATTCTAATAGTAGGGGAAATTAGACCAATTTAGAAAGCTACTCAATTAGAGATGTATTTAGAAGTTTTAGAAATAGGAAAAAGGCAGTCAAATGCATCAGAAGCATACATGTACCTCAAAATCAGCTTAATAAGGGGCACAGGACAGTGATAGGGGTAGGGTAAGCAAAGAAACTAAGTACCTCAAATCCGACCATTTATAAAATAGCCTCTTTGCTATCTAAACTGTCTCAGAGTTGCTAAGGTCTGTCTGAAATGTTTATGGCTTGCAGATGAGTTAGTGGAAATTAAGCCATCAAGCAATAAGTAAGACTTGGGCTGCCAATTGAAGATGAGTCCATCATAGTAGGATTTAATTGCCCAAATCTTTTCTCCAATGACATTTGAGTACGCTTAAATTTAGAAATGGAAAAAAAAAAGAGAGAGAGAGAAACTGGGTAAAAAGTTCCCAGGTTTTACCTGAAAGTCACTGAAGAAATAGTGGTCTGGGATGGAGCAGTGGAGACCACACCCAGGATATAGCTAGATATTTCAATTGTTACCCCTGATATATATTTTGTAGTTATTTTATCAGACAACTGAAAACATGTTCTGTCTTCTGAAAAGATTTCACATCTGTAGACTTCCTTTTAGTCATCTTAACTTCTTTTAGAAAATGTGTAAGAAACAAAATTTCTATTAAAATATATAGACATATGAGCGACATAGAAATATGGTTCAAGCAAAAAAAAAGTTTGGTTTAAATCAAATTCTTACTGGCTTAATTTACATATATAGGTTTTTTTATTACCTCAATATACTGAAATAATATTTAACCATATGTACTACGTATACAAAGGATTTTGTTTTTTTAAAAGTTCTGGCTTTTTAAAGTAGGATCATGAACTGATATTTCTAAGAGAAGCCACATGTTAACTGAAAGATTTCAAGCCAAGTGAAAAAGTGACCCTTTCATACAGCACTTTAGAAATACACAGCACTGCTTGACAGATTCACCAGAAAACTGTGACTTTTACAATTGAAGAGAGGAAAAGAGGGACCAGGAGACAGAGACATGAGCTGATACAAAGCAGCAAACAAGAGCCCAGTCATGTGTAGTATTTCTAGTGGGTCACTGATGCAGGCAGAAATTCAGGTATAATGCCAAACGCTGATTACCAGTGTTATCAGTGAAAGGTAGAAATAACCAGGACAACAAGGGATATATATAGGTAATAGTGGCATCACTTTTCTTATCAATTCATAATTTTAATACGCCTAGGAACTTGTTTTTCCAAAAACTTTAATGAAGTATATGGACATACCATACAATTCAGTCATTTAAGGTGTACAGCTGAATGGCTTTTATAGTCACAGAGCTGTGCCACCATCACTATGGCAGAAAGAAACATCACACTCAGTAGTAGTCTCTCCTCAGTCCCTACCCCTCTCCCAACCCCCAACAATCAGTGATCTCTTTTCTTTCTCGAGAGATTGCTCATTTTAGACATTTCATATAAATGAGATAGAGTAACTGATTTGTGTGAATGTGTTTGACTGGCTTTTTCCACATAGCCTAATGGTTTTAAGGTTTAGGCATGTAGCACTGTAGCATGTATCAGTATATCTTTCCTTTTTATGGCTGAATAATATTGCACTGTATGGATATATACCACACTTTATCCATTTATCAGTTGATGGGTATATTAGGTTGTTTCGACTTTTTGTGTTTATTATGAAAAATGCTGCTATGAAAATTCATGTACAAGTTTGTATGTGGGCATATGTTTTCATTCCTCTTGGGTATATATTTAGGAGCAGAACTGCTAAGCCTTTTGGATCTGACAAACTATTTTCCAGAGCTGGTGTACCATTTTCCACTGAGGGATACAGTTTCTCCATATCTATGCCAACACTTGTTTTTATCTGTCCTTTTGATTATAGCTATCTCAGTGGGTATGAAGTGGTAGCTCATTTTGAGGTTTTTATTTCATTTCCTTGATGATTAATGATATTAAGCATAATTTCATGTGCTTATTGGCTATTTGTATATCATCTTTGGAGATATCTCTATTCAGATCCTTTGCCCATCTGTAAATTATTTGTTTTTTTATTATTGAGCTGCACATATTCTTTATATATTCTGGATATAAGTCCCTTGTCAAATAAATTATTTGTAAATATTTTCTCCCATCTCTTTGAGAGTATAATTTGTTACACAAAGTTTTTCATTCTAATGGAGCCCAATTTATCTAAGAATGCTTTAAATACCCCAGGGTCATGGAGACATACTCCTGTGTTTTCTTCTAAGAGTTTTATAGTTTTAGCTCTTAGATTTAGGTCTCTGGTCTCTTTTTGAGTTATTTTTGTATGGGGTGGGAGGAAAGGGTCCAATTTCACTTTTTTGCATGTAGATATTCTGTTGTCACAGAAACTAATCTTTCCTTACTGAATTATCTCAGCACCCTTATCAAAATTCAGTTAACATAAATGCACACAATTGTGCATGGTTTAGAGAAGAGATTTCTATCAGTAGTTTTATAATATATTACTTATTTTTTATTAAACAGTTACATTCATTTACATTACAAGTAAACATTATATGTAGGAGAAATGACTATTTGATGGGAAAAAAATAACAAAATGTAAAGTTATTGTAGGATGGTGGAACTATCCTACAATAATATCCAAAAATAATAACCATTAATTTTCTTGTCTATACTCTGTACCTTCCAAATTAAAAATAAGCATGATTTACTGTTATAATCAGAAAATATTTTAGAGGGATATACATAATCATACAATCTCTAGAAGATGGGAAAATGAAAAGAAAATTAACGTTGAATTTGAAATATTAACCTCTTAACTGTAATTCAAGTCTTGACTTAACTTCTAAGCTTAGAAAAAATACTTCTTCTCTAGATAATTCTCTTTTGTGGTCTGATAAGACCATGCTATCATATACACACTGGAGAGAAGGAAGACCAGCTATAAAAAATGGCAAGTTTTTTGCTGGCTTGAGTACGGATGGCTTCTGGGATATTCAAACCTATCATGCTATTGAAGAAATACTTTACTATTACCAGAACAGCATTCTTGCTTGTAAAATTGAAATGGGTAAGTATTCTAATGTAGAGATTCCACTCTGGGAAAAGAGACAATAAGACCATTAGCTCCACTAGTGGGAATCATGCAATTGTATTTTTTCAGTGCCTCCTCTGTTCTATGTATTTGGTTCTAAGAGAGGTGCTACAGAAATTTACAAAGGAAAAAGACATGATCTCTAGTGTGATGGTCTTGATTTCAGGGAGTGAAATGTACTGGTGGATTTTATATTCATTAGTTATAATAAACTTATTTTTAAAGTAAAAAAATGTACTTGTGGAACAACATTAAATTCTTGCATTGTTTGATGTAGGTCATTCTTAGGTTATTTGGTACAGGCTTAAATTTGTTGGCAAGTCAAAATAATCAATGAAAACAGGAGTAATGAAAATAAGGAATGCATCGAGGAGCAGGTAAAGCTTGGTCGAGCCTTGAAGAATGGACAAGATTTTTATAAATAAAAAGTGTTTGGACATTCCATGCTTTGCATATCTTTCAACATCTTTATTCCCTAAATAAATCTATTTTTAAATGCATGTCAGTTTTAAACATTTCACAGTTTAAAAACAATTATTATGGCCTCTGCTCCAAGCCCTCTGCTAACATGCAGCCTATCACAGTCACATCCAAGTTGATCTTCTCTCTTCATAATACTGCAGAATAACCTCCCAAAGCTTCATTTCCATCAACAGTCTCCAGGGATCCCTATATGAATTACTTTGAGTCCATTTAGTTTTTGATATTTTGTAGAAACTAGTGCCTATTCTAAAATTCTAGGCATTCTCTCAACCCCCACTTTTTTCCCATTCTTTGCTCAGTAAGGATCTTTTACTGTCAGGCTGATCTGTTAATTGTCGCACGTATGATGTATGACATCCTCATTTGTACCTTCATTTATATTTGTTTCCTGCCAAGAAGTCTTCCACCTTCTTTATTTTTTTTTACATCTTTAATAAATTTTTCATTTTAGAACAGTTTTAGGTTTACAGAAAAGTTGTAAACATAGGACAGAGAGTTCCTATATACACCATAACCAGTGTCCCCTATTGTGGACATCTTACATTATTATAGTACATTTGTCACAACTAACAAATATTGAAAGATTAAGATTATTTTTAGCTGAAGTCCATACATTACTCAGATTTCTTTAGTTTTTGCTTAATGTCCTTTTTCTCTCCAGGATTCCATCTGGGATTCCACGTTACATTTAGTCACCATGACTCCTTAGGTTCCTCTTGGCTGTGAAGGTTTTCAAACTTTTCTTGCTTTTTGATGACCTTGCCAGTTCTGAGGAGAACTCGCCATGTGTTCTGTAGAATGCCCCCAGTTTGGGTTGGCTGTTTTTCTCATGATTAAACTGGGGTTTTGGGTCTGTGGTTTTGGGAAATTTCCATCACATCATATGAAGGGTATATGCTGTCAACATGACTTATCATTGTTGCTGTTAACCATGACCATCAGGCATTAGGTAATGTCTGCACACTTTCTCCATTACGAAGTTACTTTCTTCCCTCTTTCCATACTGTTCTCTTTGTAAGGAAGGCCCATCAGGCCACCAATGTACAGAGTGGAGAGTTATTTTCCGCCTTCCTCAGGGGAGAGTATCTACATAAATTACTTGTATTTCTATTGCACAGACATTTGCCTATTCTCCCCATTTTTAAATGTATTCAGTCATTTATTTATATCAATATGGGCTCATGGTTATTTATTTTATACTTGGGATTATAACATGGTATATACTACAGTATTTAGTGTTTGGCTCAAAATGTTCCGGCTTTGGCTGTTGGGAGCTCTTTGGCTTGGCTCCTGAGTCCCTTTGAAATGCCCTCATCATGTGATTTTGTTTCTGTTGTTTGTTTGTTTGCTTATTTTTAGCTTACTTTCTGGTTATCTTATTTCTTTTTAGTCCTGATTTCAGTTAACCTAAACTCTGGAAGTTTGATTTATTAAGCAGGCTTTCTGACTCCCTTAATGCTCCTCTAGTCAGTCACACGTATCCTAGTGGTTCATTGTTTTGCCCTCATTTCAGGTGTTGTTTTCTGTCCCCAACTAATAATGTGAGCTACTTAAATGAAAGACAGTGTTTATGCCTTTTTAAAAATCAACCAGACAACTGTAACATTAAGAGCCTGTTATAAGTACCATGACAAAAGAAAAATAAAGTACACTTTGGCTTCCTTTATTAATGAGAAACTCAGATACCGAAAATAGGTATTTTAAGTAATTTAAACTTTATCACTTAACACTTCTAATTTAAATATTATAGTTGACTACAAGGAGGAATATAATGCTACTCTGCCACAGTTCATTCCATATGAAGATGGTATTTATAATGTTATTCAGAAAAAGGTAACATGGTATGAAGCATTAAACATGTGTTCCCAAAGTGGAGGTCATTTAGCAAGTGTCCATGACCAAAATGGCCAGCTCTTTCTGGAAGATATCGTAAAGCGTGATGGATTTCCGCTGTGGATTGGGCTCTCAAGTCATGATGTAAGTCTCGTTATGTTCTCCAGAAACTTTCCAAATATGTCAGAGGTTTGGAAATTTGAGCTTAAAATTGTAATTCAAAGTATAACATCAGATTAAGTTCTAGGACTCCGTTGGCATAGCATATTGCTTTCTTATCTTTTCACAACATAGACCAAACAGAAAATTATATTTGTAGGGTACACTAGGGCAAAAGGCTGGGACTGCAGCTGCCTTAGACACTGCCAGGTGACACCAAAGGCCCAGGATCTCAACAACACCTCTATCACCTATTTGGGGCAGACCAATCGGAAAGCTGGTGAAAAGGGAATAGCACAGAATGAGAAAAACTTGAGTTTCTTCTGCTAGTGGCGGGTTTTCCATTGACATGTTGGGTGAGCATGAGCAAGTTACTCCACCTTTTTGCAAGTTTATTTCCTCATTTGTAAAATTGGGGTGATAATATTTTCCTTAATATAGGATTACAGTTAAGGTTAACAAAGTTTATGTAAGGGGCCAAGTAAAAGTCTTAATGTTAGGACAAATGAATGTATATTTTCTTCCCACTTTCCCCTTAGAAATTAGCACCGTTTGAGAATAATCTTCTGCTGGTAAACACATCTTTTGTGCCACTATTCAAATCCTATTAATTAGTATGTTTATGTACCTATAATACTGTCTGGTGTACACGAAAATAAACGTCTATCGAGATTAGAACTGAAGGTCTAATTTAAATAATCTTTATAATAAAGTGGGGAACATAGAAGAAAGGATAGCAAATTAGGATTACAGAATAAAGGAAAAATCAAAAGTAATCTTCTCAAATGAGTTTCAGAATAATATGAAGGCTCAGATTGTAAATCTGTAATTGTTACAAATAGAAGCCATTTGTACATCATTAAATTTCAAGTGTTCTATAAACTCTTCCTTAAAATATATATAAATCTGGAGACAGAGTATAGTAACTGTCTCTAAATTTAAAGTGTTATTTAAATAGTGCCAGAGCAAATGTCTAAAATTAATGCATCAATAGTAAGTATGTGATTTTACAAACAAGTGTGGACCTGCAGCACTTGTAAGCAAATAATTAACACTCTATTCCAAGATATCTTAAAGTATGTATGTTTTTCTTAGTGTTGTTTGTGAAGTCATACATCTGGGTACTGGTTCTCTCTCTTATTCCTAAAACAGGGAAGTGAATCAAGTTTTGAATGGTCTGATGGCAGTGCATTTGACTACCTCCCATGGAAAGATGATAAATCTTCTGGAAACTGTGTTGTTGTGGATCCAAAGGGTATTTGGAAACACGAAATATGCACGTCTGTCAAGGATGGTGCTCTTTGTTATAAACCGACAAAGCGTAAGACTTGATTTCGAATAACTATATATTTACTAAATTGTGACACTTGTTTTATGAACATGATTGAATATTTAGAAGTTTTAAATAAGGTTTATTCACAAATTCTATCAAAATAATTTTGATACTTTGTGAAGAGAAGCAAATACTGTATACCTATTCAGGAAATTTGTTCCCAAAGATTTTCAGTTGTTATATCACTAGGTAAGTTTCACTCTAGAATTTGCAAATTTTAATTTCACTTAGCAATGTATTTCAAAAGCTGAGATGCTCCTTTTGAGAAAGGATTCCACAACACATAAATTTGGGAAATACGTCAGGTGATTTATCATATTGATGGCTCTGAGAGTTTCTTTAGTAAAGAAATCCATTTACTTTATGTAACTTAGCATTTTCCAAACTTATATGATCCTTAAGATCTAAGTAAAGAGTGCTTGCATCAGGAGCTGGATTTGGGGGGCGTCCCTAATGGGTGGACCTTGAAGAAGAACACAGGGACTTAAACCATACAGGTGCTGGATAGGCTAAGAGACAGTGGCAGGTTAGGTCTCTGAAGCTCCTGGTTCTCAGTGTTGCCATGTTTCCTGCTCCAAGAATCATCAAGAGAAGATACAACATTTGGAATTGGACATATTCAGCAAAAGAAAATATGAAAACCTAATCTAGGAAAACAAGTGAATAAAAAAGGGGGAATGATAGATACAAAGAATGAGGAATAAAGACACGATCAAGGACTGACATCTCAGTTGTTAAGTATAGAAAATTAATCTTCTGGAAAAACAATTGGAATACATGAGGAATATGATAAGGCATGCAGAAATGGAGAGCACATCACAGGATGGAGGAGAAGGTCAACACAATCAAACACAAACTCAGTACCGTGCTGGGCTGAATTCATGTCCACCCAGAACCTCACTATGTGACCTTACTTAGAAATAGTCTTCGCAGATATAATTAGTTAAGATGAGGTGATGCTTGATTAAGACAGGCCTGAATCCAATGACAAGTATCATTATAAGAGGAGAAACACTGACACAGAGGATGAAGACCTTTTGATGACAGAGACAAGACTGTAGTGATGCAAGCTGCAAGCTGAGGACTGCCAGCAGCCACCCGAAACTGTGAGACGCACAGGAAACATATTCGCCCCCAGAGCCTCCAACAGGAACCAGTCCTGCTGACAGCTTTTTTTCCCCTGACTTTTGGCCTCCAGAACTGTGAGAGAACAAATTTCTGTTGTTTTAAGCCACTCACTTTGTGGGAATTTACTATGTCAGCCCTGAGAAACAAATACAAGAGCAAACTTTAAAAACTAGGTCTTCACAAAAAGAAAATAGCAAGCTTGACGAGGATGTGGAGAAACAAGCACATTTCTTGTCCTTGTTTATGGGAATATGAAGTGGTCTGTGGCCAGGTGAACAATGGCATGGTGATTCCAAAAAAATTTAACTTAGAACTACCATACTATCCATCAGTTCCACTTCTGGGTATATACCCAAAAGAAGAAAAAGTAGGGATTTGAGCAGATAATTGTATAACCACGTTCACAGTAGCAGCATTATTTGCAATATCCAAAAGGTAGAAGCGACCTATGTTGTCCCCTGCAGACAAATGGGTAAGTGAAATCTAGTATGTACATACTATAGAATGTTTATTCAGCCTTAATACAGGAAGGAATTCTCACACATAACACAACATGAATGAACCTTGAAGACATGCGAAGTGAAGTGAAGTCGGTCACAAAGAGACAAATACTATGTGATTCCACTTTGTAAACAAATGGCCGAAGTTTCACTTGTGGGGATGATTTTTAAAAGTAGTTCTTTTGATGGCAAGTTAAAACAAAGGAATCCAAGGAAAGGAATCCAAGGAATTCACATTATTATTTCAAAGTAGTAATAGGCCTGCCCAAACTATCTTTGCTTCTTTTTTTATTCTTCTTTTTCTATTCTGCTTTCTAATTGTTTTTATTTTAATCTAAATGCATGTGAGAGTGCTAAGGATTTTCTTCTACTTTTTAAGTTTTAAAAAAGTATCCCCAAAAAGCTAATTAGAATGTAGACCTTGAAATATGGGCTGCTGCTTTCTCTGTTGTGTATATTGAGCTCCCACACCTTTAGATACGGACATTAAATGAGATTTTAAAAGTCAGTCGTTTTTTCTGTACATTTTTACAGTTATGTCTAACATTTTTACAGCTAAAAAGGTGTCCTCTCATTTATACTCATCAAGATGTCCAGCAATAAAAGGGAATGGGTCACAGTGGGTCCGGTACAAGGACCACTGTTACGCATCTGACCAGGCATTACACAGTTTCTCAGAAGCCACACAGTTCTGTTCAAAACTTGGTGAGTTGAAATTGCTTTTCTTTGACTCAATAATTTAATCATTGGAACTTTTCTTAGGAAATAATTTGAAAACATAATTATATTTTTAAAGCATTCACTGTTTGTAATCTAGCATTATAGCCTAAATGCCCAGTCATGGGAAATGGTTAGTATTTTATGACATATGAGCTCAGTGGAATATTGGAATAGCCATTAATAATGAACACTTGGAGAACAAGTACATGGGAAATTAAAAGTAAGTGGGAAGAAATTGAATAAAAAATTGCTAAGTGAACCATGAGGTGAAAATACTGACAGATGAAACTGTGTTAAATATATCTAGATACGCTTAGGTGAAGGGATTAAGAGGTAAATTTTTTTGTAAAGTTGGTTAAGTAGTAAATACAAAATTATAGATTTTCCATTACTTAGTAATTAGTAAGGTTGGCTTGAACAGGGTAACAAAAATCAAAGGAGTCGGGTGGTTCATCCATTCCGCAGTAGGGGGGCCCACAGCCTCTGCACACCAGGAGGAGCAGGACTTTGTCTCCAGATTTAACTGTTATACAAAGAGCAGCAATAATAGGGTCTCTCCCTTATAAATCTGGCCTACAGTCAAACTGTGGAATGACTTCTAGGGAGACCACCTAGAGTATTTCAAAGACCTGCATCTTTGGGTAGCAATTTAGCCAGGCAGATGGCATTTCTCTCATTTATTTTGCTGTTGAGATACTTGACTGATTTAAAAATATCCGTAAGGCTCAACTACAAAATGGGTACTTTTGTGTGAGAACTGTTGTGTGCTAGACATGTATACATATATATATACACACACACATGATGGGGACTATTGTGAGCTATAGACATGTTCTAAAAGTCTGAAGCCTCTTGGTCCTAAAGAAGAAAACAGAGAGGTTTACTGTCATTGTAATGTAGGGGTTAAATACTTTAGTTTTAGAGGCAGACAGGTCTGGGTTCATATCACAGCTCCCACACTTACAAGATGAGTAACAACTACTATTGTTTCTCTTTTCTCATTTCAACAGTGAGCATGAAAATAATACTTACGTCAAAAGTTGAGTAAAGGTTGGGTTATTGTAGGAACGAATGACATGAGATAATGTAGGTAAATGGAGCACGATGCCTGCACAGAGCATTCACAGTGATTACTAGTAGAAAGGCTGAGATTGACTTTCTAGTTCTATAACTGGCTAGCTGTGTCAACCTGGCTGGTTTTCTTAATTTCCTTGAGCCTCAGTTTCTTCATCTGTAAAACAGTGATCATACCTTCCCCTACAGGATTAACTAATATTAAACAAAGTCACACAGAAAGCACCAGGACATCCTATGAAGGAATAAAGGTTTTCCTTTGCCCTTCTTAAAATAGACCCTCCACCCCCACAACAAAAGGAATGCTTTAGTTCAGGTATGGACAGACTAGTTGCTATTGCGGACTGCTCAGTTCCACTTAGGATTGATTTCTGAAACTATTATTATTTTATCTCTATCTCTTGCTTGAGGCTGGTGATAACACTATTTTCTCTGTGCATTTAGGGCAACCTGTCAAACTTCAGAAACACTCATTCAGTGCCATACCATATTTAGGAACTTACAATGGGCGTGACCAAGAACGCTTAAGTATAAAATATTAAGAGGAAGGCTAATGCTCCCCAGTATCCCAAACCTGTTTGCTTTGACTTTCATTCTAACAGAAGCAAATTTAAGCTGAGCTGTTATTCAGAAATGGCTGTTGAGGCGAATGTGCTGAAAATCTGTAGGGGGACACGTCTTTCTATTGTTACATACCCTATTCCTTATAACTAGCTGTTCAAACACAAAGGTCTCACTGGTTAGGCAGTTCCAAGGTCAAAAAATATAACCGGTAAACATTTTAAGGAAATGTAAATTTTCAATATACAGTTTCAATCTAGAAATACTTCTTTTTTGGGAAGCTCTTAATGCTACACTTGAAAAAAATCTGACATCGATATCAGATTTTAAAAGCATTCTATGTGTAAAGCTTGAATTTTCCACTTCCCTAGTTGCATAAAGCTAATTACTTGGGGGTTTGTTTTCCAACAGATGATTCTGCAACTATTGTAACTATAGAGGGTGAGGATGAGAATAAATTCGTGAGTAGACTGATGAGGGAAAATAATAATATTACCATGAGAGTTTGGCTTGGATTATCTCAACAGTCTGCTGGTAAGCGACATATCTCTGTGTACAGCGTGCAAAGAGAGTTGTAACTTGTCCTAACTTCCAAGTCAGCCGTGCTAAAAATTGTCAAGTGGTGGCTAATTCAAATGTTTCTCGATGATGGATAAGTTAGGTCTGCTGGTTGTTTTAGAGGCTTACGAATTCGTAATGAATGAGTGAGTGACATATTAGTAATGATGGAAAGCAATAATGAAATAGAAGTCAGGTTAAATCAACTGGAGTTCTTCTAAAAGCTTAAGTTACTTGGATCAACGGGATACTTTTCTTCCCGCTACGGTGTGCAGTAGCAGAGAACTAGGGGCTTACTGCCCTTAGAGACCCAAGGGTCTGCCACCTGTTTTTGCAGCTTGTAACTGTTATTCAGTAAGTTCTCTTGTTGTTTGTTCTCTTCCCTCTTGAAACATTTTTACCATAAAGCAAAATTAAGTCTTAAAGTGACTTTTTTTCAAACTGGATTAGTAAAATTGCAGAAAATTGATTCAAAAAGATTTGTGGAAGAATTTTTCAATAAGACATAATAGTAATAGGGTTTGACAAAGCAAAACAGAATGAACAAACAGCAGTAGATGCATAGACACTGAGAAGTGACTAGTGGTTACCATGGAGGAGGGGTTGGGGTGGGCGGGTGGATGGGGAAGGGTGAGGGTGATAAAGGGCACAAAAATTCTCAGTCATAATATAAGTTGGTCCCAGAGATAGAAGTACGGCATGGAGAATATAGCCAATGGTTCTGTAATATCCTTCTATGTTGACAGATAGTAACTATACTTAGTGGGGGTAAGGATTTAATAATATGGGTAACTGTTAAACCACTGTGTTGTATATTTGAAACCAATATAAGATTGTATATCAATGATACCTCAATAAAAAAATAAAAATAAAAATAAAACAGGAAAAAACAAACAATAGGGTTTGAGTGAACTTGGAATTGATAAGAATGATGAATTAGGAGTACAAATTTAATAGAACAATAGGAAGTGTTTCACACTTTATGCAAAGTTGAATTCTAAATAATTGAAATAAATGTGCATTCCGATATATCAAGTACTTGTCAAAAAGTGAATGGATTCAAAACCGACCATCTAGATGAATTATAAATCGTGTTCACACTGCCACCACAAGGTGGTGGTGCCTTAGATGGAAAACAAAAGTTGAGCCTTGGTGGGTAGACCCTCCTGGACCCTTCCTCCCCAGCCAGCACATCTTTACTGAGTTTTTTTAATTGGGGGGCAAAGGAGGGAGGTACAGGGCTTTAGAAATCTATCCCTCACCTGGTAAATGCGCAAGCATTCTGCACTTTAGTTAAAACATCACATTCTGTATCAGTGCTACTAGGACTTTCTGCAAAGATAAAAAAAGTTCTAGATCTGAGCCGTTTGATACTGAGCATTTGAAATGGGACAAGTATAACTGAAGAACTGATTTTAAAATTTTCTCAATTCTAATAAATTTCCTTTTAAAAAGCAGGCACAGCACAGTTCTAAGTAAAAGGATTGTCTGAGCTGCTTGCTTTTTTTCCCCCCAGTAACTCTGTGGCAATAAATATAGTCATACTTAATTTCTTTCTTCAGGTCAGTCTTGGAATTGGTTAGATGGATCAAAAGTGACATTTGTCAAATGGGCAAATAAAAGTAAGAATGATCATGGAAAATGTAGCATTTTATTAGCCTCAAATGAAACTTGGATAAAAGCTGAATGTTCACAGGGCTACGGAAGAGTTGTCTGCAAAGTTTCTCTGAGTAAGTACATAGCCTGTCCTTAAGGAACATTTTTGCAGAAGAGGTCAGGAAATACATGTACAATTCAATTATGTGCCAGGTTTTGTACCTGATCCTAAAGGATTTAGTCTTTAAGGTATATCGAAAAGTCCTCATCAAGTCATAGAGATTCTCTCACTTGGGAACATCAATTGTAAGAGACTACAAGTGCGTGAGATGTCTAGGACTCCCAGATGAAACTACTAAACAATTCAAACTTTGTATAAATCTTTTCTAAGAAAAATGAAAGCCACCAGAGTATTGAGGAGGTCATTTCTTCAAAATGGTCTTAAGAAGAATTTTATTCTATAGTTTGAATATGGAAAAGCTCCAAGGTCTAATTCTATAGTTAACCTTTTTTCTCCTTGTCTCTGTAAAACCCATTATTAACTGAACAGAATAAAACTGGATTTAATTACTTAAAATGTCCTGGGTATCAGCATGAAATCAAAATCTGACCTTACGTTTCATTAGGAAGGGACACATAAAATTACCATAAAAATCTTAATAACTGCGAGCTCTACATTTTCCTCAGCAACATGTTTAAAGATCTAGCATAAAAATGCCCATTTTAGTATACAAATATGAAAGATAAAACCCTAGTTCTAGGTGATCAGTATCTATATATTTGTGCATTGACTCAGCAGATACTTAGAGTGTCTGCTCTGTGTCACATCCTGCTTTGTGAGCTGGGGCACACCTGTGAACAAGGCAGAAAACATACCTGTCCTCACATCCCTTACGATCCAATGGAGGGAGATAGATAATATGTTACCAAGCAGGTCAATTTGTAAAAGAGAGGAAAATATCAAATCGTTATTAACTCTATGTGATCAATTCGAGGGGGATGGCTGCCTTAAATTAGGTTGTCAGAGAAGACGGCTAAGACCAGGAGATGTAGAAGCTGAGATGTGAAAGGCCAGCCAAGCAAAGAGCAGGGAAAGGGCACACCGGGCCGAGGAACCATTTGGATCCAGGGAAGAGTCTCAGGCTGAGCACTCGGGGAAGAGAAGGAAGGTAGGCAAGTACCACCACCTAGGGCTCTGGAAGCAAGTGTCAAGAATTTGGGTTCTACTCTGAGTGGAATGGAAAGCAACTGGAACATTCTGAGGGTGGGTGAGAGCAGGGTTAGAGTGGTGTTAAGCAAGAGTGCTGTTTAGGCATGCAGAGCTGTCCCTACGGAGATGAGATGCCCATACCCTGCTTAGTATGCAACTGGACTTACGAGGGAGAAGGGAGCTCAGCACAGAGATGGTATATAAAGCCATGGGGCAGAATGAGTCCACCTGGGCAGTAGGCAGACAAGGAATAGCTAGGAACTAAGTGAGGTCATCCTAAAGACTTAAATTGTCTTCAAGCAAATATTTACTTGGCCCTAAGTAGGTCAAACACAAAAATGTACAACTTTTAGCAATTGGCTCTTGAAGTAGTGTGGTGTATTGGGAGTGGTAGCCTCAAAAGGATTATGGGAAGGGAAAGTGAGAATAATGAAGGTGCTTTAATTTCTTTGGAAGAAAATTGCTATAGCAATGAAGAGAATTTGAACGAAAAGGAAAACGGTTGAATTTTAAAAGAAAGCACCTAAGTGATGATGAGTTTGAGTTCTGCGTTAATGCGATGAAACAATCAGGTACTTTATTGTATCTAATTTGTACAGGGTTTAGATATGTGACACACAACCTAGTGTGTAATATCATTAATGATCACTTTTGTATTCTCTCCTCCAATGCCAAACCTTGCCCTACTCTAGGCCCCGATTACAGAGGGGTCGGCATCGCCTTTGCCGTGCTAAGCTTGGTAGCCCTCATCTGCGGACTGATTTGGGTCTTCTTCCAAAGGAACCATTTGCACTGGCCAGGCTTCTCTTCAGTTCGATATGAACAAGGAATGGATGAAGATGAGATTATGCTTCCATCTTTCCAAGACTAAATTCTTCTGAAAGTTTGCTGATTTGCACTAATGTCTTAGGAAAAATGAGCCATGAAAATTTTTTCCAGTGTCAGTATTTACTGTTCCAAAGTAGAAGTCTTGAGTATTTTTTCAGTTGTTTAATTGCTGTGCTGGTCTCCATGGTGAATTACCCACAAAATGCCATGTTTATAACTCTACTTAAGAGAATGGAGGGGACCTGAAGCAGGAACTAAAGTCCCAATTATTTGTATGGTAATAAGTTTAATGTGCATTTTGCTGTAAAATGTAGTTAGTAGCTAGGATATGTATTTTTTAATGGCATTTTAACAGAACTTCCTAGAAAATTTAAATTGTCATGCTACTAGATCACAAATCTACCTTAAAATTTTTAAGAACATCCAGCCAAATGGAAATTAGTACCTCATGGTAAAAACACAACTGTAGATATGAACATTGTTTTAAAATAGTAATTTGTAGCATTAGTGGAAATAACATATGAAACAATGAGACATGCTGATTTTTTACACAGCAAAATGCTGCCTCTTGGCAAGATTCTTTTCATACTATTTGAAAGATATTTCATACCAAAATTATTTAAAAGCAAATGTTTTGTTCTATTCATAGTTATTCATAAAACGGTGCCTTTTAAAGAAGATTTAGTACTTACCATTTTTCTAAAGTGTGGGAATGTTGTTATTCGATTCATCAGATAGCCTGTAGCTGTTTCTTGTCTTTTCTTATGTGCAAAATATAACTGTTTCTTTCTTAAAGGGAATCAGCTAAGGATAAGAATTTTTGAAAATTTCACAACTTATATTCTTCATATGGCATGTTAACTTTTGATTAAGAATTTTTTATTACTTTGTTACGTTTTTATTTGAGTAAAGAAAAAAGGGTCTGTAAAGGAAATTGCATACTTTGCATTTGTAAAAGTGAAAATTTTACAATGAACTGCTAAACCTTGTGATTACTAGTGAAATATTTAAAATTTTGAATAATTAAGGAAACACTCTTTCATGGTTATCACTTTAAGTTTTACCACCTAGAATATATCTTAGTAGCAGCCAGCACTGGACATGAGGAATATTTTATTCAGTGTTTAACTTATATTTGTACTTTAGAATATTTTTGTATAAAATCCACAGATTTATTTTAAAATTTAGAGTGTTTATACTATGATGAAGTTGTAAATAATTTTCTCAGATAGTTTTAGCATAGTCTAAACCTATAGTACAGTGGTCCTGAAATATTTTTTATTGAATGTGTTAGACTCTTGCTCTATGATCGGTACAATTTTAGTTATAAGACTTTCTTCAGAAAACTAAATCAACTTGATGGAAAAGTGCAGATATATATAGTAATGACACAATAAAGTTGTTTTCTTTAATTTTTTATGTAAAAGTGTCGGGGGACAGAGTTGTTTTTGGTTTTGTTTTTTTAATCAAAGACTTTCCAAATGTCCATACTCTTTGATCCTGTAATTTTACCTGGAGAGCATATCTTAAAGAAACATTCCCTACAATGTTTTAAGTGAAAGTTCATCATTACTTTATAATGGAAAACTATTGGAAGCAACTGGAAAAGCCATGTTGAAATCTTTAGGTAAACTATACTATGTACACCTAGAGAACGCATAGATGCAAATACCAATCGAGGGTCATTCTACTACACCACAGGCCTGTATTCTGTGAAACATCAATTCATAAAAATCAAAAGTGTTGTTGATCCTTATTCGAAAAAAACTCTAGATTGGGAATTATTATATTAGGCATATAGTGTGACAAAAAATAAAGTGTCCAGCTATTGTAAAGCAAGGCATCCTTAAGATTTTGTGTGCATTTTTTAAAGGAATAAATGTAATCATTCCTGCATCCCTGAATATTCTATTTTAGTCTCTTTTTCAGATTTCACTTTCTCAGCATGTCTTTTAACTATCGGATTGGCAGAAATTCCATCTACTGTCCACTTATTTTTTGTGCTCCCCTCAAGAGATCCTATTCACCACCTCCTGCCCCAAAGCATTCATCAACCACTCCTAAGTCAATAGTTCAAAGATTCAGTTCCTGTTCTAACTCCCACGGGATAGTCTATCCACATGACCAGGACTGCTGCATCACGTCCCTTTCCCCATTGCCACCTGTTCCAGATGGCTCAGAGGATCTGAAGACAGCCTTGTCCAATCCTCCTTAACTAATCCAACCCTGACATGTGGTCTGACAGAATGATCTCTCAAAACCAGGTACCTAAAAAGCAAGCAAATATACCTAATGATCAGGTGTAGGGGACAAATACAGAAATGATACCAATCATCCCCTTTTTCTCCCCTTGCTCCGCACACAGCATGTTCCTCTCCTTGATCCCAGGGCAAGGTATCTTCAGCATCTGGACCCTCTCCCCTGCAAATGGCTGATGAAGTGTTGATAACTGAGTAAGATGATAACCAGTAAGATGGCAAACTTCCGGCTTCTCTTCCGGGTCCTCGGTTCCCGACGGCGCCACCTGAAGCCCAATCACCTCTCTCGCCCCGCTTCCAATCCCAGCACCTAGCCAATGGCCATCAGCCCCGTAGAAGTAACACCACAATCACCCCATGCCCCTTCCTATATAACCCAGCACCTTTCCCCAATAAAGCGGATTTCTCCGGTGAAAACATCAATTCATAAAAATCAAAAGTGTTGTTGATCCTTATTCGAAAAAACTCTAGATTGGGAATTATTATATTAGGCATATAGTGTGACAAAAAATAAAGTGTCCAGCTATTGTAAAGCAAGGCATCCTTAAGATTTTGTGTGCATTTTTTAAAGGAATAAATGTAATCATTCCTGCATCCCTGAATATTCTATTTTAGTCTCTTTTTCAGATTTCACTTTCTCAGCATGTCTTTTAACTATCGGATTGGCAGAAATTCCATCTACTGTCCACTTATTTTTTGTGCTCCCCTCAAGAGATCCTATTCACCACCTCCTGCCCCAAAGCATTCATCAACCACTCCTAAGTCAATAGTTCAAAGATTCAGTTCCTGTTCTAACTCCCACGGGATAGTCTATCCACATGACCAGGACTGCTGCATCACGTCCCTTTCCCCATTGCCACCTGTTCCAGATGGCTCAGAGGATCTGAAGACAGCCTTGTCCAATCCTCCTTAACTAATCCAACCCTGACATGTGGTCTGACAGAATGATCTCTCAAAACCAGGTACCTAAAAAGCAAGCAAATATACCTAATGATCAGGTGTAGGGGACAAATACAGAAATGATACCAATCATCCCCTTTTTCTCCCCTTGCTCCGCACACAGCATGTTCCTCTCCTTGATCCCAGGGCAAGGTATCTTCAGCATCTGGACCCTCTCCCCTGCAAATGGCTGATGAAGTGTTGATAACTGAGTAAGATGATAACCAGTAAGATGGCAAACTTCCGGCTTCTCTTCCGGGTCCTCGGTTCCCGACGGCGCCACCTGAAGCCCAATCACCTCTCTCGCCCCGCTTCCAATCCCAGCACCTAGCCAATGGCCATCAGCCCCGTAGAAGTAACACCACAATCACCCCATGCCCCTTCCTATATAACCCAGCACCTTTCCCCAATAAAGCGGATTTCTCCGGTGGATTGCTGCTGTGTGTCGCTCCTTTCCTTTCAATAACCCCCATCCCTGACCCAACAGCTGAGTTTATGCTAGGGAAAATCAGAGATTCAGATTTCTTTATCTTAGGTTCATTTAATCCAAAACCTTCATGGAGAAATGAAGACCTAATTGCTATTTAGTTTCACAACTTTATCTTGCTTAGGAAGGCAAATTTTAACTGGATCTCAAAGAGAAATTTTTTTTTTTTTTACTAGACCTCTTGATCTATACAAAGTTACCTCTGGTTCCTGGATAATATTGGATAATATTCTAAATTAAAACATTCTCACAATATCTGCACTATACTAAAAAATTTAGTATACATGTATTCTCTTTTTTCCAAGCTCAATTAGTCATAGGCTGAATTTTAGAAACTTGTTTTCCATTCCTCCCCCAAGTTCTTCCTATGTTCTCTTTCAATTAGCATAAAGACACCACACCCCTAGCCTCTTCAGCTAGAAACTCAGAATTCATACTCAAATCCTCTCTTTCTCATCTCCCCAATCCAACAATTCTGTGCTTTACCTCCGGCTTCCCAAAGAGTAGCTATCTCCATTGCCAGATGTCTTCATTCATGCCTTTCTCTTTTTTTCTCCCTGGATTATTTGTACAGCCTCTTCTTGACTGGTCTTCCTCATTAGCCTTTTCTCTTCATTCCTTTTTCCCCACTCCTGGGCCTGTGGGAGCTGAAATACACACAGGAGGACTCACCATTGTTTTAATCTAAAGTTATCTAGGGCTAAGTATCTCAGACCAAAAAGGAACTCATCAATGCCCACCCCAGGGACCTTCCCCAAGAACCTAATGTGGACCGATGATCAGTCCTGAGAAGTCCTAGTGTTTTGGTTCCCTGGTCAAATACCCTTTTCATACAGGGGATGCCCCAATTCAAGGAGCAGAGTCAGAATTGCTCCAATCGCTAAACAACAGGCAGAGTCAGATAAGATTGGATCCCAGGAATCAGGAAAACATTGGCGATTTTAGCAAGCTGAAACGCAATAGAGCGATGGAGCCAGAATCCAGACGGGACTGAACTGAAAAGTGCAAGAGAAATTAGGAGACAGGGAGCATGAAAATTTGGGAAGCCTGGTGTAGATGGAAAGAAGGGGTTGAGCAAGAGGGAGAAGGAAGGGTCAAAGGCTTTTTACCCAAAGGAGGGGGAAAGAGGTTCACAGGTTTAGAAAATGAGGGGAAAGAAAGCAAAACTAAAAACTAGACACAGAGAAGATGATGCAGGGGAGAAGAAGGGAGTCCTTGTGGAGAAGGTGGGATGAGAGGGGCAGTCCCCTGAAAGATGAACTAGGTTTGGATGGGGTGGGGGAAGCATGCCCTCCTCTCCGAGGCCACAAGAGGAAGACCTGCATGACAATGATGGGAACAGTAGACAAGTATTTGAAGATTTTTGTCTAGATCTGATGGCCTGCACTTTCCTGTTGAGTAGAAGGTGAGGTCTTTTACTTTGAAACACAGGTAGCAAATTGGGTCTCAGCTTGAAGAGAGTAATAAGAAACTAAAATACCTGATGAGCAGAGTGGAAGAGGACAATGACCAAGACAAAAACAAAAAGGACTGCAGAGAGGCACACCTGCCCGCATGAAGTTCAAGTCCTTGTAGCAACAACCATCCGGAGAAGTGACTGATTTCCTCGACCTGTCCTCAGTCACTTGAGTAAAGTTGAGCAAAGGGAGTCTGTGAAGAAAAAATAAGAGACCCTAACCTCAAAACACTGAAAATAGAACTGCCATTCAATCCAACAGTCCCATTTCTGGGTACACATTCAAAGGAAATGAGAACAGGCTCTTGAAGAGATGTCTGCACCCCCATGCTCACTGCAGCATTTTTGGAGTGGCCAAGACATGGAAGCAACCTAAGTGTCCATCAGTGGATGAATGGATAAGGAAGATACATCATATATATATATATATATACACACACAATGGAATGTTATTCAGCTATGAGAAAGAAGCAAACGGCCATTTGTGGCTACATGGATGCATCTTGAGAGCATGATGCTAAGTGAAGTAAGTCATCATTGGAAGAAAAAATGTTGTTTGTAACTGTATGGTCATGGATGTTAATCAGACTTACTGTGGTGATCACTTCACAGCATATACAAATACTGAGTCATTGTACTGAATACCTGAAACTAATATAATGCTCTCAAAAAAAAAAAGTCAGAGAAAGACAATTACTGTATGATACCATTAATGTGTGGAATCTAAAAAATCTAAACTCATAGAATACAGTGGAGGTTAGTAGGGGCTGGGGTGGGGGAAATGCAGAGAGTTGGACAAAGGGTACAAACTTGCAGTCCTAAGATGGGTAAGTTCTGGGGAGCTAATGCATGCATGGTGATTATAGTTAAAACTGTACTGTGTACTTGAAAGTTGCTAAGAGAGTAGATCTTAAATCTCACCCAAAAAAAAAGAAGTAATTACATGTTGGGATGGAGGTGTTAGCTAATGTTATGGTAGTAATCATTTTGCATTATGTGTATCAAATCAATGTGTTGTACACTTTAAACTTGCACAATGATATATGCCAGTTATATCTCAGCAAAGCTGGAAAAATTTTTAATTGTAAAAAAGAAAAAAAAAAAAAGAAAGAAAGCAACCCCAGGTTCAGAGTTGGCCAGTGGACACAACAGAGGAACAAGTGGAGGTGCAGCCTCCAGGCTGGATGGAGAAGGAAGACATAAGAGGCCTGGAAAAATGAGACCAAGGGACTGGAGTCTGGAATGAGCTCACAAAGAAGGCAAATTAGGGTGAGACAGAGAAGGAAAAATGTATTCAGTGTGATTGGAAAGTAGGACATCATAGCGAGAGATTTTAATGAAGTATCACTTTATCCCACACAGAGGCATTAAGTAGTCTGTTTTGTCATATTGACGTAAAGAAATGAGGAAGTGTGCACTGGAGTTAGCAGTACAAAAAATAATGCCTTTCCTTCGTTCGGATGATTTAGATACAAAACACTGTTGAAATGGGTTACTTCCTACATAGATCGATTTGTTAGGATGCCAGTGGTTTTGTAAATGTAACCATGATTGAGAATTGGTTTAATGCAAACCTATATTGAGAAAACATACTTTGGTGCCTAATGTGGGGGTGGAGAGAACTTTTTCAATTGCATGGTTGCATAGAACTGTTCATTTTACTTGCATAGTTAGCAGGACGGAAGAGTCCAGAATCAGGATGGTTGACCATTTAAACATAGTGTGCCTTTGGAATGATTTATTTTGGGTTTGGGTTTAGTGTATAAATGGATTATTGATAGGGTGAGAAAAATGGAAATAAACTGAAGAAGACCTGGGTACTTTGGCAAAGGGGCTGAGCCTGGAATGGGCAGTAGAGACCTGCAGAAGACAACCTGGGCTCTGGTTCAATTTATAGTATTCACTGTACACCCATGGATAACTCATGTCCCTTATTTGAGCCTCATTTTCCTTATCAGTAAATGAAGATGGTCCCTACCACCTGGAACACTCTGACCCCTCACAGACCTTTGGTTAGATTTCCTTGGTGCAATCACTTCATTTCAGACTGGACTATCAAAGGCATAGAAAGGATTAGAAAGGGTTGGAAAGCATTACCCTTGATTTTTTTTTTAGAATAGGCTTTAATTTTTGAGCAGTTTTAAGTTTATAAAAAAATTGAGCAGAAAGTACAGAGTTCCCATAGACCTCCTTACCTTTCCCCTATTATCAGCATCTTGCATTAGTGTAATACATTTGTTAAAACTGATAATCTAATATTGATACATTACTAACTAAAGTCCACAGTTTTCATTATGCTGTGCATTTGCTGGGTTTTGACAAACATGTAATGATAGGTATCTACCATTATGTTATCATACAGAATAGTTTCATCACCCTATAAGGCCTCTGAGCTCCACCTAGTCATACCTTCCTGATTCCCCAACCCCTGGTGACCACAGATCATTTTACTGTCGCCATAGTTTTGCCTTTTCCAAAATTCATATAGCTGGACTCTTACACTATGTAACCTTTCAGATTGGCTTCTTCCAGTTGACAATCCATATTAAGGTTCTTCCATGTCTTCTCAGGGCTCGATAGTTCTTTTTAGCACTGAATATTATTCCATTGCATGGGTGTACCACCGTTTATCCATTCAGCTATTGAAGGACGTTGGTTGTACTCAGGCTTCGGCAATTATGAATAAAGCTGCTATACAAATCCTTGTGCAGCTTTTGTGTGTATGTACATTTTCAACTTGTTCATATAAATACCAAGAAGGACTGTCACTGAACTGTATGGTAAGAGTAGATTTAGTTTTGTAAGAAGCTGCCAAACTATCTTCAAAAGTGCCTGTACCATTTTCACATCCCATCCCAGCAATGAGTAAGAGTTCCTTTTGTCCCACATCTTCATCAGCATTTGGCTGTTGGCAGTGTTTGGGATCTTAGCTATTCTAATAGGTGTGTAGTGGTATCCATTTTTGTTTTAATATGCAATATGCTATTGAGCATGTTTTCATCTACTTTTTGTCATCTCCATATCTTCTTTGGCGAGGTGTCTATTCAGATTATTTTTACATTTTTAAAAATTGAGTTGTTTGTGTTTTTGTTGAGTTTAGACTTGATTTCAAAGCACTTTTGCTAATGACATTAGGCTGTGTCAGAGCTTACTGGGCCCTGGTTTGGGCATTGTGCTGTCTGATTCCAGTCCCCTCAACTGTCAAGTTACACTTGCATAGTTTATAAATACATTATAACAGTCATAATTTTGCTGTTTGGTTGTAGCTCAAGGTATGGGCACAGTCCTTCCAAGGGCTGTGCAAGCATAGTTTAAAGGCCTTTAATCTCAGAGCTGGTAATAGAAAAGTTGTGAAAGGGCCATAGTACACCAGAAGGAGCCTTTGAAAACGTTTCTGGCCATCAGATCGAAAAGAGAAACCTGGCAGACACCCCTCACCTTAACAGATTAAAGTTAACATACCTGTGAGGTGACGCCCTGAGAGCACATCACTTCTTTGATATTCTTGATAAAAAAAGGATAACCGGAATCCTGTTCTTCCAACTTCCAATCTTCCAGAAGAGGGAACATCAGACAAGCCGAAACTGCAGGACATTGTACAACCCTCTGGCCGGCGCTCTTCAGCGGTGTCGGGATAGCTGAAGACGCTCACGGCCTGAGCCACCTTCCCTCATGAAAGGGGACGAAGGCGGCGTGACTGCCGGCGCGATGTAGGCTCCCGGGCTGGGCATTAGACCAGACAACGAACATCAGAGGGAAGATTGGCGACGTGTGCTAAGGGCTGTAGAGGGGTCGACAGGCCTGCGGCAGCGCCACTCCCGGGGCTTTGCTCCCTGTGCTTGAGATACACACGAAGTTAATATTTAGGGAAGCTGGCTGAAAAGTCACGGAAATTCTTTGTTTTACTTTTGCTGCCCTTTTGATAGTCTGAAATTATTTCAGTTCAAATGAAAAGTTGTAAAAATGCAAAAAAATAAAAAAGATTCCAGAAGGCCGCGCGAGATTGGAATCAAGCCGCCCGGGTCAGCTGCGGGCTGACCGTCCCCTCCTCCCACCTCCGTCCTCCCCCCTCCGTCCTCCCCTCGGTCCCCCCGGCTCCCTTCCCCCTCCTCCCCTCCGTCCCTCCCCTTCAGGCCCGCCCCCTCCCCGCTTCCCCCCGCCGCCCACACCTCCGCCCGTCCTCGCCCGGGCCCGCGGGAGGGAGGCGTCGGTGGCTCCGCACTTCCGAGAAGGGCCGCGCCGGGCGCCCGCGCCGCCGTCATGCTCGGGGCCGCGCTGCCCGCGGTCCTGCTGCCGCTGCTGGGCCTCGCCGCCGCCGTCGCGGGTAAGCTGCCCCCTCGCCGCGCCACCGCCCCGGCCCGGCGCACGCCCCCCACCCCGCACCGCGCGCCGGCGGCCCTGCGCAGCCGCGTCCCGCCCGGGCATCCCGCCGCCACCTGCTCGCGCGCCCCGCGGGCCCCCGTGTCCGCGCAGCCCGCCGTGCAGCGCGCTGCGGGCCGGCCCCCGACCGCCTCCCACGGCCCCGCGTCCGCGAGGTCCGCGCAGCCGCCGCCGCGGGAGGGGCTCCCGCCCCGGGCTACCCGGGCGGAGCACGACGAGCAGAGGGTCGGGGCCACTTGGGGCCTAAACGAGACGCGGGGACGTTGGCTGCGGGGGGTTCGCCCGCTGCGGGCGGCGCGGGTTTGCTGGGAGGAAGCTGGCCCTCTTCTGCGGGTGGCGTTGTTTGTCCACCTGGTTGGCGTGCAAGTTGTTGCAACAAGGTAACAGTTCAGGTAAGCCCTGGGTGGAAGTGGGACGTGAACGGGCGATTCCACTCAAGTCGTGTGATTTAAAAATCTTTTAAGTCTAGTCTGCTGTTGTGCAAGTGACATCTGAAGAAATCACACCATTTAGTCAATCACTTCCAGAATGACTCCTGAGCAAAATAGACAATCCTATTGAATGGGCGTGGGGTTTTTTGTTTTTGTTGTTTTAAACAAGGGTTCCATACAAGCATGTCAAAAATGATGGGGAATCCTTTGGAGGAAAGACTTCCACCCAAAAACACTATTAATTGAACAATTCCAGGAATTGAACAGCAAAATAAACAAGAACTAAGTGAACACTTGTGTGGGTTTGAAAAAGATTATGCAAGAGTTGTTGTTTTTTTTTTTCCTGAAAATTTCTGCCATTTTTTAAGTTCTTACTGGAAGCCTGCTGACAGGCAGGAATATTTTCAAGGATCTCAGTGTTGGAGAGAGCAGCGGAGTAAGCAGATCAGAACTTGGTTACAGACTCAAAGCTGCTTTTCTGAAAGCTTTTGTGGTGGAGCATTTATGACCAGTTATGCCATCTGCTGCCTGTGGAGTTGCAGAAACAAGATGTGCCAATTTTCACATGGTTCAGACTGAGCACTTCAGTTTTGTCTAAGACAAGGCTGGACTGGAGATTCCTGGGAAGGCTGAACTGTTTTGAGTCCTCCTTGTGCACTTCATTAGCTTTGCCAGAAGCATCTAAATGCCTGTTAGCCCACCCTCCTGGCTGCCATGCTTTCATACGTCAGGAGAATCAAAAAATACTTCTCTGGTCAGATTTTTTAAAAAAAATCCATTTCTAGATTTAGATACTATCTCTTCTTCAGAGAAGCTCCTTGGATCAGCAGGAGAGGACAAGCTATCTTTTGAACGTTTTGTTCTTTTTCTTTTTATAAGTCCCGTATGGTTACATAGGCTTTTCAGGAGCTTAGCAAGTGTATGTTGAATAAATTAATGCTATTAATTAATCAACTTCTCTCAGACTGGAGGCTTTAAGGATTTAGAAAAAGCATGAGCTTTGGGGTTATGTACAGATTTGTGGGGCCTTGATCATTTTACCCAACTCAATGCACGCCAGTAAAATGGAGCTAATACCCCATAGGGCCATGGCACTTGAGGGAGAACGTTACGTCCGCGCCTGTATCAGGCATGGTGAATCTTGGTTTCCTTCCCTTTGTTGTCTTCATACAAGTCGAAGGGTAATTACTGCAACTTGAAAACACCCTGAGCACCACTTTTTATGTGTTGAATATTTATGGTTACTGAACACATGCATATACAGGTTGATGATACAAGGCTGAAGAACTGTGTATGTTTTTCAACATAATACTTCACAAATCTCATTTCCAGACAGGATCAAGAATCACAGTAGCTTATATCTAAGTCAAGAAAGTTTGCAAGGTTGCCACAGAATCAGCTGCATGTCAAGATCTTAACAAAAAAGCTCCTGTGGTATTACATAAAGTGTTAAAGTAATGTTGAAATGGAAATCATTGTTAGGTGTCCTCTGTTTTGGAGTTTATTAATGCAAATGATCTTATTCTTAGTTATTATCTTGAAAATCACAGTAAACAAAACATTCTTTAAATTCCTGAGTGAGGTTCTGTGGCATCCCTCTGAAAAAGTTCTTCTGAAATGGTGCTTTTTGCACATAGTAGATAATCAGGGTATGTTTATTGGGTCAGTGATTTCCCATGGTGTGCCTGAGATGGGTGGATATAAGCATGTGGGGAGTAAATCTTCATTCTGTGGTCAGGATCTAGATGACTGACTTTGAATTTCCATAGGCTGCCAGTCCTAGATGAGGGGCCCCTGCCTTCCTCTCTGATACCCTCGCTTACCATCCTTCCTGCCATTCACTCTGATTATCCACCCTGACTGGTCCTTCTGCCCTATACCACCCTCCCCTTCCCTAGTCTTGGCATGGCTGTCTCCACCTCTATCATGTAGATCTCTGTTCATATGTCACCTCCTTGGGCCTTCCCTGAGCACCCCACGTTCTCCGTCACGTCCCCATGTTTTATCTTCTTCAAAGTATTTAATACTATCTGAATGCATCTTGTTTATTCATTGCCTTCTTGCCTGTTGCTCAGAAGGAAGCTACATAACAGCAGAGACTTTACCGCCTTGTGAATTTTGTTTTGTGTCTGTACTTTATTCTAATTTAAAATAAAAGGCCAAAAAATTTAGATGCATGATCTAAAAAGTAGGGGAAGATAATAGGATTGCAGTTTCTCTCACATCATTTTCCCTCTGCCATGAATTCATCTCATAATTGCATTCATAATTTTAAATCATCTTAACCTATTGATGTGACTTTTTCTGTCCCTTGTGGAGGGCACAGTGATATTTCAGGGGAAATTTTCTCAGATATATTTTTGTAAATTTTGAAGGGTTAATAAATGTGGTTTTTTTTCTTCCAATGAAAATGTGAAATTACAATTAGGTATTATTTCAGGATTTCTGTCATTGTTGGGAAGCTTTTAAAAATGTGCTTATGCTTGAAAACTAGTTTTGTAACAGGGTTATAGTCCACATTTCTTTTATAATTCATGACAGCTCTTCAGCAAAGGGACTGGAGGGGAGAAGATGGAGGTGGATGTCTTGGAAGCTGGTTCAGAAGGGTTGGTGTGGGAAGGGCATGGAGAGTCCGAGGGGCTCTATTTCTCTGTGGTGCAGGGAGAGCTTGCAGCCCAGGGCGTGGCCACAGGCCCTCCCTACTCGTCGGGGGCCTGGAGCCCCACTCTCTCCTCTGCACAGAATGAACATCTCCTTTTCTTCCGCTCCATCTCCCCAGTGGCCCTCAAGAAGGTAACTGACTGCAACTCATATCTTACTAGGAGAGGGACAAAGGTCTTCCTTTTGACAAGGAAAAAAAAAATAGTCTTTGCTTTTCCTTTATTAACATGAACACCAAGTATATGTCCCAAGGATCACTTACTCTTATACCATCCCTGATTGTTTAAGAAATGAAATTTTAAGGGGACAGAGAGTTCTGTTAGAATTGTTTGGCAGTGCAAAATATTCCTGTGGATATGCCATTTTGTTCTTTTAGTGTGTGGTAATTTTAGATGGAGGATGCATGTGGAGACTTTTGGAGTTAAGGATAAGCTTTTAAATTCATCAGACTCCTAAATCTCTGTACATATTAAATGAGTAGAATTATAAAATTTTGAAATCCACAAAGTGTCATTTTGGTGCATTAATACAACCTATTTTTTCAAGACTACTGTGCAAGAGATATAGTTATTGAAATACATTTTTATAGAAAATATTACAGCACCTGCCAATGAAAACTTACGGCAGAATGTTGAGGCTGGTGTTTAATTACAACAGAATTATCGAAAGGTACTTAGCATTAAAGCAGACTTAGCCTTCTGCTCAAGAAGCGCCTGAAACTCAGCTTTCCTCACAGGAGGTCTCCAGCCTCTCTGAACGCTGTTCTCTGAGTAAAAACACATCTCTTGCAGAGCGGGTACAGTTTGTTTCTGGGGTGCACCTCTGGCATGTAGCATGAGAAGAAGGGTTCACGCTGACTGAACTGCAGTCCCTGCAAATGCCGTAGACCCTGAGGGCAGTTGCAAGTTTTGAGGAAGTGGACAGTTTCTTTTCTGTTTTCTGCCTGTAGTTTTTGGGGTTTCTTTGGGGGGGGGGTGGCTATCTTACCATGTATTGCTTATTTAATTATTCAGTAAGGACCTCTGAGTCACTACAATCTTCCTCCCCCTCCTCCTCACTCCTGTCTCAGGGGCCTGTTTGCTTTCCCCTGTCTGATCTCAGCTCCTTCACACATTTTTTTTGGTGTCATTTATCTACAATTACATGAGGAACATTATATTCACTAGACTCTCCCCTTCCCCAAGTCCCCCCCACATACCCCATTAGTCACTGTCCCTCAGCGTAGCGAGATGCTGTAAAATCACTACTTGTCTTCTCTGTGCTGCACAGCCCTCCCCGTGCCCCCCCACATTATACATGCTAATCGTAAGGCCCCCTTTCTTCTTCCACCCCCGTCTCCCTCCCTTCCCACCCATCCTCCCCAGTCCCTTTCCCTTTGGTAGCTGTTAGTCCTTTCTTGGGCCCTTCACACATTTTTTATCTGTCATCTTTGTAGTGAGATCCTTCTTGAGGCCTTTCTGAAACGGCAACCCTGACTCCCGCCCTCTACTCAGGATCTTGTTTCTGTTTTGACTTCTCTCCGTAGTTCTTGTCCTTGTGGTCGCTAGGCTGCAAGACGGCCCCGTGATTCTTGCCCCCTGGTATTCAAGCTCTTGGGTAGCTCACCTCCACACTGAATTGGGCTGATATAATAACCAATAGGATACTGCAGAAATAATGGAGTGTTGACTCCCCAGGTTGGATCATAAAAGACATTTGCACCTTGCACTCCTACCTTGTTCTCATTTAAATCACTTGCTCTGAGGGAAGCCAACTGCCATGTCCTAAGGACCCTTAGGCAGCCCTGTGGAGAAGCCCACATGTGAGGAACCAGCAT